CCCTACTCAAGTAGCCAAAGCATGGGGTTTTGGGACTCCATTTCATCTCCAGGAAACCTGTTCCAGTATTTGATGAAACTCAGAGTCATAAAGTTTTCTTACTCATAAACTACCTGAAAGGAAAAAAAATATATATATATATTTCCTTGCTCCTATATTATTAGAATTTCACAACCTGCTTTTCTTCAAACCACAGAGATGTGAATTTTAACCTTTTCTCCTTTTGTTTATAATGCTCCTCAAACTTGTCTGAAATAAAAATTACAAGCTGAAGTATTAATTGGACAATTTCAAGTTCTCTCTGAATAACTTCCTTCTTCATATAGAAACTAATATTTGGTCTGGAAATATTTAAATGTCACATTTGTATTTATTTATCACTGTTAGAGTCAGGATCTTTGTTCCTTATTTTAGCTGCTTCTCTTATTTCTTTCTTTTCTCAGAAAAGAAAGGGAATGCATACTCTTTGGCTTCCTTATTAAATATTTTCCTATTTTTTCTTTTGAATTACAGTAAATAATTTGTAATGGTGTTACCAGTGTTTTTATAGCTTTTCAAAAATTTTTAAGGAAAATGTATGATAAAGTACTGTCTATCCATCTTTTCAGTAACCTCCCTGTGTTCAGTACCTTCAGTTTAAAAATGTGGATTGAGTGGCTTTTAATATCATTTGTGTTAATGTCTGTTTTCTGTTTTTTCTTGTCTCTAAACATACTGGAGAATTTGTGTCATCCAACAAAACTACATTTTGTATGTTAAATTTTCATTGCGTTTGTTAATTTAAGCCACAAATGTGATATAACAGTACAACAACTAGTTGGCTTAGATTTCATTCTAATATTCCTTCAATTTTAAAAGCATTTTGCCTTATAAAACCAGCCCTTTTTTCCCCCTTATTAATGGTAATCTTTAGGTACTCAGCAGTTTTTTTGATAAATAAAAAAGGCCAAGCATTGTAGAAAAAAATAAGAGTAGTTCAAATAGAGTAGCCTATCATATATCAAAGGCAAAATTGGCAGCCTGTATTTTCATGCTTATCTTTTTCATTTTTCATCATTCCATTTCCTCTGCTACTGTTGAAGTGGGACATAGTGACTTTTTCACATCTGTTTCAAATAATCACCTGCTGGTTCTTTTTATGACAAAGATGAAATTCAGTTTGCATGTTCCTAACATTTTACCATGGGAAAGTATGCGAGTTTAGTTTATGAATTTAGCTAACATTTGCAATAAGCACATCATCTAACTTTGATTTTAAGAGTAAGTTCTTTAGGTACTAGTGAATCAGTAGCTGAAGTATCTGAGATCTCATTTCTTGAGTCCTAATGATGGTCCAAATACACTACTAACATATACACAAACTACAGAAGGGGTGTTTCCTGTGTCTTTGGCACAAGAGAGATTCAGAGAAATTTAAAAATGAAAAATTGTATTTTGAACCAGTAAATGCTGTTATTCCAATGACAGGTACAAAGCAAGTTAATAGAAACACAAGCTATTTAGTGTTTCAGAATGCACAATATTTTCTGTAAGCACGAAATGGCAACACAACAGATGCTGCACTATCTGCACATGAAAACTTTGGTCATCTTTGCTTTAGGCTGTCAGTGAAGTAAAAAAATTGCAAAAATTATTCTAAATTGGAATTTTGGGTGGTTTTTTGAGGGGGTTTTATGTGTTTGGCTTTCTTTTAAGGACAACAAGGTGAGCCTGGTCCAAAAAGGAATTGTGGCATTTCAGGAACTGGACTTCCACGAAGTAACATGAATCTATTTTAAACAATTACTATTTTAATATTTGCTCACTTTTCTGACAAATATAAGCAATAATTTACCTTAAAACTAATGCAAAACATTTCTCAGGTCAGTATTACGTGTGTTCCTAAGTGACACAATAAGACCGTAATTTCAATTCTCTGACAACTCAGAACTGTACTTATTTCAGCAGATTACACTACCTTGCTGGCACACTCACTGATCACTTTTAACTTCCATTGATTTTGTAGTGCTCAAAAGATCTATGTGTCAGGTACTGGCATTCCCAATCTGGGTATTCAAAAGAGAGGAATGTACGAAACAAGTATTTAGTTTCTCAGGATCAGGTAAGAACTAAGGAGTAAAAGCAGTTTGTTCTTCCAGGAGATATCCTCCCTCCTTGAAACCTTGTATTGTAGTCTTTTAATATCTTAGTCTCTAGCTTTCACCTTCTATTAGAAGGACACAAATGTTTTGCCCAGACAGTAGCCTCATTTACCGGGTGTGTGCAGATTAAATGCTGAATGAGTCACCCAGTGTGACTATCATTAAATCATTGTGCATTATCACGTAGATACACCAGAGGGCAGAATTTAGATACCATTGATATCTTTATAGCTTACATATTCAGCAATTAAATGATCCTTTTGATACACTTATTGCAATCTGGTTTTAAAAAGGCATGTAATCATGACTCTATTTACAGTGTATGAATAACAATGACACTGAATTAAGATCTATCTAGTATTAGGAACAGGGATTTTAAAAAACCTTTTTAAATATTTACTTCAAATTGCATCTGTTGGTGATGTCTCCTAGCCAGAGGAAAAAATCTACCATTCTTTGTAGTAATTATTGTCACTCTTATTGAGTGAAGAGCACACTGGGGGAAAAAATGTAAATTTAAGGCAGTGAGTTTTGATTGATATCATCAACCAAACTGATCCATAGTGTAAGTCCTTTGACACTTTACATTTATGTACTCTAGAATAGTCACCTACTTTCATACTTTTATAGATCTGTATCACATGCACATTCAGTTGTGGCTTTTCAAGCAACAGAATCATAATTTACTTTGTCTTCATACACAAGCTATCTTTTTTCTTTGTGAACTCTCTCTTTTTATTTCTTCTTTACTATTTTTGAGTTGCAGTAATGAGAATAGCAGGAAATATTCAAGAAGGGCAGGTATGTACCAGGAAAGAAAGCCGATACATGACTTTTTCCAACAGAAGAAGTGACTTAACATGAATACAGGAACTAAAGGCTTTTAACCTGAAATTCACTAGCAACATAAAATGAGTTTTACATATAAAACTTCATACTGCAGACCAGAGCTTTAGTATGGTCATGTAATGGGTGCATTTAGACAGATTCAATAGTCGTGGGAGCTGTAGGTACTGAGCATCTGGTTCAGAGCATCTGGTTCACGGCAACCATTGGAACACTGATGTACTAAAAAGCTTTGCAAGAAGTATTACTGTTAAAAACAATGCTGTAAATTTGGAGTCGTAACTTCTGTCAGATTTGATTTCTAAGTGAGTACAAAGCTATGAAAATATATACAGACAAGACTAGTGAAAAAAGAAAGCTTTGAATTGTAAATCAACAATCCTGTAATGGAACTGTCAAGATTCTTACTGTACTTCCAAAGCACAGTAAGTAGTGAAGAAGAGCTTAGGCTGTGGCTGGAGACCAATTACACACAACATGCAACAGATTTAGAGATTTCCTAGTCAGAGAAATAAAACCAAACTTGACCTCATTGCTGTCCAAATACTGGACGTTTGTCAGAAGACCTTTCCCTTCTTTTTTTCTTTTTTAAAGTTGTCTTTTATTATTGTAATTGCTAATGCAATTTGAATGATACAGTCTTGGCAGACTCACGAACCATCAGGTCAGACTTCAGTTCTAGCCTACAAAAGATACAGTACTGCTCTTACATCTCTGATCTAGCCAGTGCTGCAACATTAACAGGGACAACCTGAAGATGTGACTGGCAAAGTGAAGGGTAAAGATGTAGATTGTCTAAAAATAATTTTTTTAATGTGAAAGTTCAGTTACTTAAAGTGGGAAAACGCTCGTGCTCCCAGACTGACACTGTCCCTTTAATAAAATGTCTTGGTCTCTCACTCAGCCTTGGCTAAGTGCCTGACTGTCTTCATTTAAACTTTGGCCAACTAAACTGCAGTTATGGACCATAAAGGATGTAGATGAAAGGTAGAGCCATTTGCAAGTGGATAGGTTATTTATTTGTAGATTGCTTTATTTTGGTAAGCAAAACATATTTTCCAGTATGACCTAGTGGGCCTATTTTCTACGCTGACAGCTTTTTCATTCCACAATTTGCTTTTTGCATGCCTTCAAAGGTAAGAGACTCAGTTGTTTCCTTTAGAGGACTTCATGTATTATCTCTATGTATGTACCTTCTTGATGCATTTTAAAAGAGGATTTAGGGAGGATATTTATATTTAATATCATGTCTTTGTTATTAACGCTATTTAAAATGAATTGTTGTAAATTACAGGCCTTTTTTTGTAAATCAGTTTTAATGGAGTTCATTTTTGTCTAGAAATACGTTGAATTGCTGATTTAACATTGTAATTTTAATTTTATTAGTGTATATTGTAATTATAATATAATATTGTCTTTATGAAAAAATTGCACATATTCTGTAACATCCGTGTAATATTAATAGTACATTCATGTATTGAATTTCATTACTAAGCCACTGTTTCTTAGAAGAATGAGTTGTTCATACTGATGCTTCAGACCTAGGTAATATACCTGCATCCCAAAACACCCAGATCTTTGCTTATTCCTAATAATTAGAGATTTCAAGAAACAAACTACATTCTATATTTCTGCTAATTTAATATAATTATTTTAATATCAAAGTACATTAATCACAATATGCTTTAGTAACAATGTATTTTGCCCTTCTTTTTAGATATTCAAATGAAAGCTAAAGATAACACTGATTTTTGTTAAGAAGGAAAAAGCAGCATTGTGTTCTACCCATATTTCTTCTCTAGTAAAACAGGTTCTAATATACATGTGAGCTACAGCTGGGATAGTGCTGGCTGCTATGCTTAAATTATCTACGCAGTGACTTTTTATAATTGTTTTTATATGTTGTCTTTAGAATTATGCTTCCCACAGATGCATATTCTGTATGTAAAGTATCTGTATTTATTTATTTGCATCTATTAATGAAGTATTTACAGGTGGCTTTCTACTTTTAACCGAAAGGAAAAGTTGTCTAATTTGGGATGAAAGTCACTATGCAGGAAAAAAGTTTTTTTTTTTTCTTTTTACTTCTGGCTGTGACAACAAACCAGATAGTAAATGGGCAAAACAGAAAGAAAGGAAAGAATACTTACTCTCCTGTGCAAAAAGATGAAGGTAAAACCATTTTCGTGAAATTTCTGATTGTCCATGTTGCACATCTCTATGTATTTCAGGATAATTAGTTAGTAATTGACGACTTGTATATGAATTTATAAAATGTGTTATATATATTATATATATGTATATATATATATGTGTGTGTGTGTGTGTGTATATACAAGCTTTCTAGTCCCCACCTTCATATTCCTCCAAAGAGTAATAATGGTTCAGTAATTTTTTCCTTAGGGCTGTTCAATATTGACACTAAGCTATTCTGTACCCAGATTTTTTCTATGCAGAGATCAGACAGTGATGGGTGAGTAACTGAGAAATGGGAAGGAGGAACTCTGCATGTTTTCTGTAATGCCTTCCTGATTAGATTTTTCAGATGCTCTGTAAAAAATTTAGCTGTGAGTGAATATTGTTTAAAAAAATTGCAGATCCTTTATAATATCAGAGTGATTTTAGCTAAATGAATGTTTTGTCACCATACTTTAATCAGTGTGAGTTTCTATCTATGCTTATTACAGAGTGATTTTGGAGCAAGAATGGTTTTGGGACTAAGATAAAGTCTTAGAGGAACTGTAAAATTTTATCTCATAATGGTAATAACTTTTTTCTGCTTTGTTTCAGGGCAGTGGTAGCAAAGGGGAAAAAGGTGAGCCAGGACCAAAAGGAAACAAGGTAATGTGAATTTTAAAAAATAAAGCAAATTTCTATCTAGTTATTCAAATCATAGAAGTGAATATAGCAAAGGAAAAGTATGTTAAAATAGACTTTATATATTGACTTCTGCTATGAAAGCTTTATAGTTAGCTGCTTTAAAAATGTGAGAGAAAAATTTAAAACTAAACTGCTACCAAATTAACACTGCCTATTATTCCAGTTTTTCTCTGACAGCAGAGGTATCTGAATACAGCTGAAGGCTCTTTAAGTTCCACAGAGCTTTCTAACATTTCACAGACTTCTTGATCAGAGTGGCTTGCTCTAATGACTAAGATTTCAGTCACCTAATGACAACAGTTGAATATTCTTTGTTAATCTTCATGAATTGTGTGTCCTTGATTGTGGAAGGATGAAGTATGAATGCTAGTAAATAGGAAAAGCCACTTCCGCTCCTTAAACAGTGGTCTTGATTTTAGTGTAGCAGGGATAAATGAAAGGGCAATATATATTTCAGTTGTATTCTTTGTGTCCAATAGGACGATACTCAAAAAGGAGATCCTGGAGAAAAAGGTGAAGAGGTATGTGACTATTGGAGTGCTAACTCATATTTGGTCTTTTCGGATTTTCTGAACTAAAAATGTCTTTTTCATTTTTCATGTGTCTACTTTATTCAGTTATTTAAAGATCCTACACTAAACTGTGGTTTAGAGAAGCATCTACGCTGAGAGGTGTGGTCTAACCATGTGCTAAAGTGTAGAGATGGGGTGCTATTGGCAGAAGGAACTTTTGAAGCTGTGTGATTTTGTATTGACTTGCATTAGGCTTATCCCAAAGGCAGAGCTGAAAATGTCATCACTAAAGACATCTAGGTAGTCCTCCGGTGGCTTCTGACATCTGATATTTTTCAGCCTGAATTCTTGTTGATTCACTGGAGAAAGACTAACTCTACTGCCTGTGTGAGATTAATTCAGCTTAAAAGTCCCGTTTAAATGGCAGCATATATCTACTAAGAGGCTGGCAAGCTGAGTGGCATATTTACAACTAATACATGAGTAAAAAAGGCACATCTAGATTTGGAGAGAATTATATGTTAAATAGTTCCAGAGAGATATTTTATTGTTGTAAATAGTTAAACTTCTGAAACATAATTCTTTACTGTGGGAGTTGGTTTTTTTCCTGTTTAAGTTAGCTATACATTAGGCCTTCACTTTCTCTTTTATGATTTTTTTTTTCAATTTTTGATTAGGGAACTCCTGGCTACAAAGGAGACAAGGCAAGTTTTTTGTAGAATAGAAGTAGCCTGAAAAGAAATTGCCACTTGCTGACAGTGTACATGAAAGAAAAGAAAAGCTTGGCTTGTCTTTTTGTCATGAGAGCTCCTAATGCAATCCCTAGAAGTAAGTTCATAATTTATGTAAATGCTTACAGTCTGGATTGTGGGAAAAAAAAAAAAAAAAAAAAAAAGGAAATCTGAAAATGTAATCTAAATATAAAAAGAAAAGTGTCAACCACCAGAAATATAGTTTCTGGAAGGAAAAGAAAGTTGAGGGTTGAATAAGAGGTTAAGTAAAAAGAATGTGAAATTGTTTACTACAAACACAATGTGGCAATCATTAGCTGTAAAAAAACTTACCACAAGGAAGTTTACTTTTAAACTAATTATAACTTGCAAGGGCTAATGCTTGATCAAAAAATCCTCAAGATAGGCTCTCCAAGAAGTTTGAGAAGTTAAACACTTCAATGACTTACAAGATTCTAAAGCCAAAATTTGCGCTGCAAACTGGAACATCATAGCCAGAAATGAAACAGAGATAATTCCATTTTGACTTTGCTTGGTTTAGAAACTTATCTCTCTGCATTGTTAATAAAAGCAGTGCCTCTCTTTGTGTTCATTAGAAAAATGAATATGGTGACATTTCTTGGAAGTGGGAAGAGTCGACTCATATGTCTACTTTCCATGTGTCTATTGATATGTTAAATCATCAGTGTAACACATTAGTAATTCTCTTTCTTCATTCCATCTGGACAATCTCACAATTGCTATTCGGAAAAACCTCAGACATCGGAGTAATGAAATCAGAGCATAGAGAGAATCTCTGGAGGCAGTGCAGTGAGGTGGAAAAACACAGCAAAACTTATTAGATATTAAATGTATTATCCTCTTATGATGTAGGTTGGGCATTTTGTAGGTATTCTCAGAGAGAAATAGATCTATCATGAGTAGAACAGACTATATCTTCTAGAGACCATATCTGGTGATCCCACTTCCAAGTCCTCAGAATCTACTGACCCTCTATTGCTGCAGTGTAATCAAACAACTTGTTTAGCTGTGAACCTTCTGATTTCTTATAAAGGGCAACAGAGGGCAGTGTGGACCCCCAGGAATAAAAGGAGAAAGAGTAAGTATAATTTTTATTTGAACTGTTTTGTGTTGATGAAGATACTAGAAAATCTTGTAACATATTCATAAACATAGCTAGAAAAGATTATTGTAAATTTGGAGCATTATTCCTTGGTGTTAGAGATACATCATAATAGAAGTATGATTCGTAGGAACTAAACCCACAGTTCACCATATTCTTTGTTTTCATTTTACAGAAGAAATGCAGACCCTTACCTAAAACAAAAGTTGTCCTGATCAGTGCCAAGCCCTGCTTACAGGGCATCTTACAGAGAGCACCAGATTTATTTCCTTAAAATTTTAATTGCAATTTGAGTGTATAAAGTTATATTGCAATAGAAGCAGGTTCTTACCCAACATGAACAACTTTCAGGTTTTCCAGCCCGTCTGTGCTGGTATGCATTTACCCTTCTATCCAGTCCTCCTCTTCTTTTAACCTGAAGTGCGGAAGTGTTGGGGGTGAATATAGATTTTTAGCTGGTTTTTTTACATTCTGAAAGATGGAAGGATAGTGTACTCCTGAGTGAGATCATCATGTATCTTGAGTTTATATAAGAAGATTTGTATGAGTACTGTAAACCACTGATTTATTGTTAGAGTTAAGTACTACCAACTAGATTGCACTTATCATTCTATTAGAGCACATTTCTCCAGTTTACCATCCATATTATGCTTACCTTTATCAAAGACCACCCTGAAAAGTTTTTGTTTCTTGGAAGCTGTTATTTGATGATTCGTTTCAGGAAGGAATTAGGAAATATTCATGAGAAGTATTTGTTGCAAAGAAAGAAGGGTATTATACTATAATTAAAATCTGAAGGTTGAGAATATCTTGTGAGATACTGGGGCTCAAAACAGCAGCAAGTGACTCAGAAAAGTCTGAAATACCAATGAAAAAAGGAGAAAGTTGTGTCTCTCAGAGGAATAAAGAAAGATCATAACTTCTTTATCCAGTCAATATGTGAGAAATAGCATGAGGTTATGTGAAATGTCTACTAAGTCAAAAGGAAGCAGTTCAGAAACTGGCAGAGAACAAAATCAAAGCAGCCAAGAAATCTGGATGGAGAAAACGTATGTCAGGGCTGCCAGAAATCTGCTTGTTTCATTTGTGTTGAGGTCAATGATGAAAAAAAGTTTGTCATCTGCACCCCCTGCAAAGATTATAATGGGTTATGCAATTCAAGAATTTAGTGAACAAATAAAAATTACAGTCTCTTTCAGAATTTCCATCTTCACATTTACAAATCCAGAGGATTAAACAGTTATGTATTTTTTTTAAATGAAAGCAGGACACATATGGCCAAAAGTATGAGAAGTAAATTCAATATTCTGAGATGGATCTTTAACTGGAGTGACAGATATTGAAGCATAATTGTGAGTAATGTTGTCTTATTTGAAAATGTTGCATTATTCCACCACCCTTTCTCATCTCACTAATCAGGCTGAATCCAGTACAGGTTTTGGTGCTTTGAATCAGAATTTTTTCAAATGTTTGGGCTTGAAATTCACACAAATTCTGTTTGGCTTTTAAATCAAAACTAACTCAAGTCATAGGTTTGTATGCTACCAAAAGCAGAGACCGTTGCATCACTGTATCATTGTTTTTGCCTTCCACTGCTGATTGAGCTGGAAATGGGATGGGACTGAGGGGGGTTATGACTCACTGTCACAGCTGATGCTTGGCCAGGTAGCAAATGCCAGGGAGTAGAGAATAGTTTAACAATTCTGACTGAATCTGTAGGAGAGGATGGTTGATGGAGTGTGGCTGTGTAGGTATCACTGCTAAATTCATCGGTCTATTAGAAGTTTAGAATGTGACATATGCCTTGAAAAATGCAGCAGCCTGCCAGTGCCTCTGTGTGGAAATGTTGCTAATTAAAAGAAAAGTAAGAGAGAGAAAGAAAAGACCATTTAGCTATTTGCTGAAAGCTGTTTTTGCTTTAGAAATAAATTATAACTTAGTATTGACTTCAATGGAATTGAAATTCTGTAGAATATGCATTATGGTGACTAAAGGAAAATACAGTGCAGCAGAAAGGTTTGTGAACAATCTACAGTGGTGGTGGCTGGTAAGAGCTCATTAAATGGAGAAATGACAGCTAATAGAAGAAAAAAGCATGGCATTTTACATTTTTTGGATGAATTTTTAATGTATTTTGTGAACTATTGTGTGATTCTGCAGTTTGAGTTAGTGAAACAAAGTTACCTGACATTATTCTGGTATAAACACAGCAGCATTTTTAGTAGGAATTCTGTATCTAATATGCTTCTAGGAATTGAATTTAAAGACCTGTTATTTAAATGAAATAACAACTTGTTAAGCAAGTAGCTAAGTTGTTGAATAGCTATTCACAATGTTTGTTGTATATGAAAAATATTTTAACCCTAGAAAATGCTTGAACAGAGATATGAGTCATTACATGTACACTGCAGTTCTTGACACTTTATAGCATATAATTGCAATTTCCTTTTAATCCAAATCTTATTTTTCCTCAGGGTTTGGAAGGTCCTTCAGGCCCTAGGGGACTTCGGGGACCTCAGGTAAAGGAACTAAAAGCTACAAAATAAAAAGAAACCCCATTATATTCTATAAGTTTTTTCTAAATACAACCTGTCAACTCTGTGGAGAGCAAGAGAGCTGTGGAGAGCTGTCAACTCTGTGGAGAGCTGCCAAGGCAGCAGACTCTGGCAAATAATCATCTTGCATTTTTTGCCAACCCTGGTTGTTGAATGTTAACAATATTTAATGTGTTTGGCATTTCACAGGATATGATGCAGAACACTCTTGTCCTTTTGAGCTTAGAATTGGGCTATATTATACCTGTACCCTGTTTCAGCCAAAATTAAAAAGAAACTTTATATAGGTCTTCAAAAGCAGCTCATTCTTTACTATGACTTTTGTGTAGGGTATCAGTGGACCTCCAGGTGAGCCGGGCCCTAAAGGCATTCAAGGAAGAAAGGTAAGATGTAGTTGTATATGAGTAGTTGTATATGCTATTTGTATAGGGAAAGAGGGTGCAGAAACTCTACTGTCAGTTTTTTTATTTGTGTTATTATTTGCACGGCAATAATGTGCCCCACCTGCTTGGTGCTACACAGTATCATCATGTGATGAAGGCTTGTTTTTGTTGGCACATACAGCCAGTTCTCCATCTGGATCTCCAAGAACATTTTGTAGGGTCATGATAGGATGTAATCAAGGACCTGCCTAGAGCCACAGCACTTAGGCTGGAATCTCACTCACCTCAATATGTGTCTTGTCTTCTACCATCAACTGGGAAGTTTTTTCTAGAATATTTTTGCCTGTAATGCCTTGTGTTTAAAGACATAAAGTAATTGTAGATGATGGTTAAAAACTTCAGATTGAGTATTTATAGTAATTTTTCATTGCTTGAGTACTGTAAAAATACTGTAAAAACTCAAGACAACTTTGAAATTGGTAGAGGTGAAAGATTTTATGACAATTAATACCTTACATATATTTAAAATAGATAATGACTACAGCTTGTCAAGCAAAATCAGTTGGATAAAGTATCTGAATAATTTAGGCAGTCTTCTGATTTGCAAACCTTTGGGAAATTGCTTTATGTGAATACACTTGTCTTGCCTATGGGACCACTGTTAACATCATTGTTCGGTACAGAAAGATCTTTCGTTTATTAATTTGATACAAAGACTTTCTACCACTCTGCGTTGGTGAGGCCACACCTTGAGTATTGTGTTCAGTTCTGGGCCCCTCAGTTCAGAAAGGATATTGAGGTGCTGGAGCGGGTCCAGAGAAGAGCAACAAGGCTGGTGAAGGGACTGGAGCATAAGTCCTATGGGGAGAGGCTGAGGGAGCTGGGGTTGTTTAGCCTGGAGAAGAGGAGGCTCAGAGGGGACCTCATCACCGTCTATAACTACCTGAAGGGAAGTTCTAGCCAGGTGGGGGTTGGTCTCTTCTCTCAGGCACTCAGCAATAGGACAAGGGGGCACGGGCTTAAGCTCCGCCAGGGGAAATTTAAGTTGGATATCAGGAGAAAATTCTTTACAGAGAGAGTAGTCAGGCATTGGAATGGGCTGCCCAGAGAGGTGGTGGATTCACCATCCCTGGAGATTTTTAAACGCAGATTGGACGTGGCACTGAGTGCCATGATCTAGTAAATGGACTGGATTTGGACCAAGGGTTGGACTCGATGATCTCGGAGGTCTTTTCCAACCCAATCGATTCTATGATTCTATGATTCTATGATTCTATGATTATTGATAGTCTGGTTAACACAATCTAGGTTATACAAGGCAACTGAATTCACGCAAAGCTGTTTGTCAAAGATGCAATATATAAATACTTATGTTTTGTTTCTTAGGCAACAGTTTCATTTGAAGATTCATAGAAGAAAATTTAGTTATGGGAAATGTTTATTGTAAAAAGTTTGGAATACTGCCATCCATCATGATTTTCCTCTTCCTGACAAATGCTTTTTCATATTTCTCATTTCTTCATCTTCTCAACAAAATTCTTGATTAGCAAAGCTGCCACAGAATTTCAGAAGTGGAAAAAGAAAGAGGATGATGAGTCTGAAAGAAGCTATTCATACGTGTGGTGGAAAAGTCATGTCTTGCTTTAACTTCAGCACAGCAAATTACAGTTATTTTTTTATCTGTCATTTCACAATAATAGTACTACTAGATACTTTTATTATGTACTAAACTTTATTTGTTGAATGTTGTTTGTCCTCCTATCAGTCTCTTCATACGCTTTCACATCTGTAAAATACATGCAGCTCTCTCTAGAATCTGTCTACCTGGATACCATATTTATGGTCTCTTTTTAGGCCTTAGCTGCAGATTTTCAGTAAGAATAAGAAAATTCCTTTTTTTTCAGCTTTCAACTCCACAACACATTGTTTAAAGTCTGTAGTCAAGGTTTTTCCATGCCCAAACATCTATCATAATAAAAATATTGCCAGAGAAGTTTAATTAATACCCTTAGATAATTATACTTAGATAATTATACCTAAAGAGTATAGCAGAAACATATGTATGTTTAAATGTTATGTCTTGTCCATACCTACTGCCAAAACTAACCTTTGGTATTTTGGAGCTTATTTGAGATGAGTGAAAAATTTTTTAATTATCAGTACAGTGATTGTTTACAGCTTAATAAACACCCATTCAGCTAGTAAAGGTCAAGGCCTCTTTTGGTTCAGTCGCATAGCAGTTTTTCCAATATATTTTACCCTTACAGTAGGACTATTCAATTGCTCTTTTAAAACTAGTTTGCATGATACATAATTCAATATCTCTGAAAAGTGGCAGTTTTTTATAACTGCCTTGGATAAAATAAATGTCTATTCTTACTGCAGTTCCTTATACATACGGCCTTTCCATGCTAATACTTTCTGCTTTTTGAGCTGAACTAGCAACTTCATCTTGGTGGCATTGGTACTACTGTGACATAACATAGAACACCACTGCTGAGCTTTTATTCTTTGTTAGTGGGCCATATTGAGGTTTGAAAGAGGAGATCCTGTTCCTCAAAATATAAACTCTAGATCAAGCTCAGCCTACAGATGGTTTGGGTTTCATTTGTGAAGGGTACAGTTCACCCATATATCTGGCCAGCTCAGCCCATCCCATGTGTCTATAAGGCAGAGTACGGGTACGGGTCCATCCTCTCGCAGTGTCAGGCAGCAGATACAGCTGGGGACAGTGTCATCTGTGAGCTGTCTCTGTGCTGCTGGCTCTGGCACCCACTAGCAGGAGAGGGCTGGTGGCATTGCACCCTCAGCTAATTCAATTTGACTTGTCTGAAGCAAGGCGGCATGGAGTTCAGAAACATTGTACAAGAAATTACTTAAAAGAACTTTTCATACTTTACTTCCTTTATTCATATGCATTTTCTTATTCTCTCTTAAGCTGCTGGCTAATCTCTCAACATGAAGTTTCACTGGCTGCACAAGAGTTCCATCCCTTCTCATGATATTGCCTAATCATACTGCCAGTAATAAGTTGTAATAAGTCCCACTGCCTGTGTTGAACAGCTTTCCACTGACAGGACTCAGCCAATTTGCCTCCATGTAGACATATAAGTTTAGGAGCAATAATATGGAGCTGAATCACATCCTTAACCTCTTGGTCTTTCTGATGCACTCTGTAATCCTTATATTTAATAACCTCTTTAATATACAAGCTCATTCCATCACTTTACTTACACCCTCTTTTCAAACCATGTATGAATATGTTGACAACCTAGATCCTGCCTAGAATGCAGCTCGGTGTGGGATTATATAAAACCAGATTTTGCTATTATGTAAACCTTAAAAGAAAATTCTCTATTTGCATTTCTGCAAAAGTCTAACATCTCAAAAACGTCTGAATAATTATTTTACCACAAACCTTTTCCATAAAGAGGCTAAGCTATTTAACAGGACATTTCACTCAAACACAGTTAGGAGTTGGGAACTGACCGTTTTCACTGTGTGTCTCCTGCCTTCTGAAGTAGTCATCTTGGTCCTGTTCCCAAGCATGTCCCAAGTAAAGGACGAGGATTATTCCACTTCTTTTCTCTTTTACTGACTTTCTATGTGTTTCAATACAAAGATGTTAAATTTATAAAAGAAAAAATACATTGTTAAAGTCAAATTCTATGTTGCTTTGTCTGTTTCACTAATTTGAAATACCAAAAAGAAATGCTATTCACAGCTGTGCTTTGTATTTTCTTAGACATTTTCTTCACTTTAAGGCATTCTTCAGCTTCCTCAGCCATCACATATTATCTACATTGTAACATAAAACAAAAGCTTGGATCAAAGTGTACCTCATTCAGCTATAAAACACAAAGTAAAATTTTAAAAAAAATTGCAGTTATTTTAAGTTATCACACAGAATTAATTAATTGAATTTGCAGGACACAAATTTATAACTCTGGATCTGAGGCAAAGACATGACTCTTGTCAAACTGCAGCTTATAGGAGCAAGGAACTCAGATTTTGTGTTCCTTATGTCACTAAGAATTCAAGGGTGGCTGATGCAGTCATTTCCAAAAATCTAGAAGACATTATCTTACTTACAAAAACACTACAAGTACCAGAAGCAGAAAGTTGGCAAAGAGAAAAGTCATTCTTGGTTCTGCTCTGTAAATGTAATATATTCTGTAATAAACAGTAGTGTCCATAAAAATTATCCAGTGAAAATCCCATCTATTCTCCAGCATTCCCAGTAACCCAGTTTCTGTCATTTTCCTACTTAGGTTCTACATATCTCTTAACTCTGCTGGTTAATACAGTTAAACAACGTTCTAACTGGTTACTGTATTTATTTTGTTGGATTTATTTACTTCCACATACTGTGTTGTTACATTCTCAATAAAAGACAGCTTTGCCCTTTAATAGTAATAAAACCCAGAAAAAATATGACGTTCTAACAAAAAACCATTTCACGCATCTTGGTTTCCTCTCTAGAAAGGAAACAGAATCACTATGGTATTTCTGTAAAACAGAGTTCTAAGAATGAATATAAGATTTTTGCAAAACTAAAGTAACTCATTGGGGTCCCTTAGTATTCTTGGTATTGGATAAAAAATTGGTTTTCAACATGGATATGTCTATTGAGTTACTCAAAATATTAGGCATTATTTTGTCTGTTTTAATTAATTTATTAAAAAATGCTTAACTGATATTTATTTTAACAAAAACCCTGACAACAAGGTATTCTATACAATAGCACCAGTAAGATTCCATAAGAGTGTATTCAAGGTACTTTTAAAAATGCGTTTGTTAGTGAGGGCAATAATAGTACTTTTGCAAATTTCAGCCAACAATTTACAAACAGAAATATATGGTTACAGATTATAAAACTGGGACATATAATCAGGGCATTTCCTGTTTTCCAGGTAATGAGCAGGGAATACTTATGGTTATCATTTCAGAATTGGTATGAGGTTTGTTTGTTTAAAATCTTAAACCAGCTACGAGATATAAAGTATGCATTTCTAGAAACCGTGATATACCCATGGAAAGGCTGAAAATGACACATTCTTAAAATCCACTGCTGTTGTAAAGAACCTCTCTGGAAAATTTAATTTGCGTAGTAAGATTCTCAATTAGAGGCTAAAGTTGTATGAATAAGCATGTATTCAAACTTATAAGGAAAAGGTTAAGTTTGAATGTGGGTATTCAAAGCATTTATTTCCATAAAAGCATCTTGGCATAATCCTGTGAAAAATCCATCATTGCATATTTCCCTGAAATGAACTGCTAAGGGATGCTACTTCTTCTCCAATGACTTATGAATTCTTTCCTTACTTATGTGGCAAGTTACATCTTTCCCAGGAGACTGAAAAATCCAGTTTTCCTGTAAACAAGTTTAGTTCCTAGATATCTCAACTAACTTAGAAATACAAAATATCAATAATATCTTTTAAAATATCTATATCTACTTGCATGGTTGTTGCCAATGTTTACTTTAAAGATAAAATCATTATATTTGAAAGATAATTTTTTACTATAGCTTAATCATTATCATATTATAGACTGAAATACAGAGTGCTCCTTACAACACATATGGGCTTCCTGAAAAGTAAAGAATTATTTATATTTGCGCTAATTGGTATCCTCCTAACATAATGAACTATTTGGGGGGGTGTTTTTTGGGGGTTAGACTGTTGAGTATGTCCCAAGCTTAAAAGGGTACAATTTTAATATGTAAAAATGTTACACTCAGATCAAGTGTAATTTTCCTTCCCATTGCTCTAGATGATATTAGACGCCACCTGAAGGAAAATCCCAATAGGAAAAGAAAAAAGAATGTGAAAGAAAGGGCTAAACAAAGAAAGGTATTATAAAAAAGCTACTCTGAAAAGCACCCTTTTCCCCTCTACATGTAGAGATAAAGATATTATTGCCAGAACGTTATGGTTCTAATAAATTCCACATTACCTGTAGCACCAAGACCACAGAAAATAAAAGCCAGGTTTACTAATAGCCATATGAAGTTTTAAATGTATAGTCTTTAAAATAGTCTTTTAAGTTTCCAAATTTTGCATGTTATCTGGTAGAAGGTTGGGTTTCTTTCTCCATTAGTATTCAATCATCCTCTTCTATCAGTAAGAAAGTGTTCAACAAAACATTTTCATACTACCCTACATGCTTTGTATCACAAGGGCTTCTTATGCTGCCTACGCCAGTACCTGCTAGTACCATATCTACAGCAACATCTATTGCAAGGTACATGACACCAGTCCTTGGAAGGAAAGCTGTGTAATGTTTTTAATCATGGTTAAAAAACCAGAGCTTTTGGAAAAACGTTAATTTCATCAGGACTCCCATCTGCATTCAAGGCAAGTGTTAGCATGTGGGTGAACTTGCAAAGGAGTGAATTGTTTGCAAAAGGAAGAATCCCTCAGGATTACTGTCCTTGGCAAGTTTTGCCAGAATCTATCAACATGGATATGAAACACATAATCTGCTTGGTTGGCAGGAAGAAAAAAGTTGGAACACACTTTCCAAATATGACAAAGGAGGTTGGTTTATTGTTTCAGCTGAGAAATGAGCCTGTATTTGTCAAATATCATTTTTCAGCATGCAACAAGTTCCTATACCATTTCAGAGGTTTAGTTTTGTCAGTTGGAGCCAGTGTGCTTAGTGGCATTTGTTGTACCCAGGGCACAGTTACACTGTGTGTGACCCACTTACACATGGTGGGGCTACATGCTGCTGAACTATTTTTTTTTAACCTTATAGATTTTTTAAATACATTTTCAACTTTGCATATCTTTGGGATTTATTCTGTGGGGTGTGATGGTATATCATGGCACCACAGAGATCCCAGTCTGCCTTCTCCATGAAAGAAGCAAGGACTGTGATTTTGAGCAGCTAATATTTAGCAACAGCCTGTGCCTATTTCTTTCTCACTCTGACATCTCTTACAGTAGGCATGCTCATCCCTAACTAAACTGTCTTCAGGCCTGGAAGCTGCATGGGGCTGAACCTGTTAATGTTGCTTGTCAGGTGGAGAGGTATTGAAGAGTTGGTGGTAAGGTAGGGGAGCCTATGGGCTGAAAGGCAAAGCTTCCTGGGCACCAGGCTGGAATTCTTGGCTTAACATTCTTCCAAAACCCCTGTTTTTTCTCATGTTGACCAGATTTGCAAGAAGACCAAGTGTGGGTGGAAGTGGCAGAAGTGTCTCTGCCCTTATGGGAGCGTCTACACATAGAAATTTTATTGCAAACTTCCTACTGAAACCTTGATACAACAGTTTTACTTGTATAGCTGCCATGGGGATGGTTTTGCCCTGGAAGCAGAGCACGCTGCCTGGCTGGGTGTGTGTAACTACAGCACTGTGGCTCTGCTGATACCATTCTGACAGTGCATTTCTAGATACTGATGCACAATCAGAAGCTGAACTTCCATTGATGTTTAGATGATTTTGACTTGTTGGCATGAATGAAATTCAGTAGCTGAAAAAATTACTACCATTGCTACCGGAAATGAAATAGCAGCTTCTAAGTCAACTCTTTCTGGCAAATATTAAAAGTAATGCCTTGATTAGTTTGTTCAACCAGTGAGGGGTTAGTGTCCAGTCAACAACTCCAGTTAGGCGTTTTTGGCTGACCATTCCTTAAGTCCTAGATGTTTGACTTGGCAAGTAAATTATGATCATATAATATTGTTCTTGTGCACAGAATAATAATCAGCATTCAATGATATTTTTACTCACTGAATAAATATAAAATTATTTAATACAAACACAAGATTTAAGAAGTAGGTGGGGAATTTTGAAAGAAATTTGAAATACTTATTTTATGAGTAGAAAATTTGATGTCTCTATAGAACAATTAGCCTACTAGGAACAATAACCTTTATTTGAACAAAAATATTGTTTATCTTTAATATTTTCACAAACTATTTGGTCCATTTTGCAGAATAAAGAATTTACTGAAGTATGCAGATATAACGATTTATTCTTCTTTAATGGTCTGATACAGGTCTGCCAGGACCCAAAGGAGAGACAGGAATGAAGGGAGATCCTGGGCAGTCAGGGAAAAAGGTAAAGAAATATATTTTAGCACATGTGAAAGGTGTATGAAAATGGTGATGAAAGAACTAACGATCATTTGCAGCTATGGAATGGTAAGGAGTTCATCCTGAAGGAAGGCACGTGCCAATACTTTTGCCAGGGATAAGAGACTGGGTGGGAAGTTTCCAACAAACTAACAGTGGTTACTATCTGAATCAGCAACTGATTTAGCTGCCCTGCCTTTTGTGGGCTATTGCTTAGTGTTAAATTTCTTCTTGGACAAAAGAGAGCTCATGTCTTTAGCCTATTCCTTATGGCCTGTTCAGATTTTTCCTGACACCAAGAAGTCATGCTCAATTTGATGTGACTTATAGCATCTAGCATGGTGGTGAGCTGTGGCTGAAACTTGTCAGCCTGGTACAGGAACCAGCAGAAACAGCTGAAACCAGAGCTGCTTTATTTTTTTTCAAGGGAAATTCTGACGTTTTAGGAGAAACTCTGCACTGGGAAAAAGGAATATAGATTCGAAATGGTAAACAGTAATTTAGAGGGGTGCAAAACAGAGTGCCCAAAATAGTAAATTTAGAGTAAGTTAAATGCAGGCTTTTAATTTTACTCTTTCCAAAAAGAATGAGCTGCTGAGTGAGCAAAAGTCAGTGATTTCTGATTTGGCTGATTTCAAACTGCTGCTGAGCATCCAGGTGTCTCCAAACTCTGCTACTATGCAGCTCTTATGTGAGGGTAGCAGCTGGCCGACATGTAGAATTGATGAACTAAACATAAGTTGGAGTAAGCAAATCAGCATTTTTGACTGTGTTCAGAAAATATCTGAAAAGCTGTGATAAATATATTTTAAGAATGCAGCTTTGCTTTTTTTTCATCTAAAAGTGCAAACACCAGTTTGACAAGCTACAGGCTTGGAAGGCAGTAAGCCTTCCACTGTGAGAAAATATGTAGCATTCTGTTGCTCCTTAATAATTTTTTTAAAGTTTGCTCAAGAATTTAGATCCCAGTGTATCAGAAGTGAAATATCAGAATTAAGAGTAAATGTTGGGTTAAAGTTACAAGTGGTTTTTGTATTTGGGAATGCTGGGTGGTTTTTTCTCTTGCATATTGCCTTCATTCTGGTGATTTACTTGGTGCTGTCACCTTCACTGTTGTATGCCATTAAAAGTAAAAATAGTAGGACTGAGCTGCTACCCTCGGTATTCAGGACTGTGCACAGAACAGCATGATGCCTGAAGTGAGTAGCATGGGGAAATTATGGCAGTTTGCAGGTGTGAAGCTGTCTCATAGAAGTGGGATCCAGACTGATGCCTATCAACAACAGGCATCACTTTCATCAACAGCTCATATCAGAAATGGATTTTAACCTTGTTTTAATCTACTTTTCACTCTCTGAATTACCTACAGGCATCCTGATATTCTAATCTGATTTACATTGTTCAAAATATTTTGTAGGTCAAGTTCCTTAATAGAATGCTCTATGCGGGCTATTTGTGAATTATTTGAAATAATGTTCCTGGCAAATATTTGCAGCCTGGATTGGCCATTGGCTACAGGCTTGTCTAAAACTACTGCTTTTTAAAAGTTGTTTTCCTTAGAATTGGTCAAGCAAGACCTTTTCTTATTGATGCAATTGCAAATGGTACTGTCACAAATGTCTGTGAAAAAAAGGAATATGGATGCAGGAGAGCAGAAGGGGCCTAAAAGACAAAATACTTTATTTTTTACAGGGAAAAAAAATTAACTAGATCTTTACTGACATTTTTGAGGAAAGTGTTTATGCAAGCACTGTTTCTTGTAAGTCTGTTGATTCAATAAAATTAGCTACATGAACAGTAATTAAGCACTTAATATCTCTTAGGGGGAAATGGGAGATCAAGGTCCAAGAGGCCCAGAAGGACCCTCTGGCAAAGGAGATGTAGGTCAAAAGCTATGGCTTGACATGCACACTGGAAAAATATTACAAACTTTAGAAGGACCTATTTTACAAGAATTTGGATTCTGACCTACTTTTTCATTCATTACATCTTAAGTAGCTACTCTGTTTTAACTGATGATTTAATAGGATTTAAGACAGAGCAATGTGTTCCATAGCTTGAACAAGTGCAGCAAAATCAGACTATAAACATAGAACCTAAAGTTAATAGGGCATTGAATCATTAACTTCCTTTTATAGTATTTTGTGAGTAAATATCACTCTGCATGATAAGGAAATTGAAATAATGCAAGTGTTCTGGTTATTCCATTAGCTTTGTAAGATGGACACAAGAAATTAATTAAAGCTAAAAAAGTCAAATACACAGTTCAACCAATAGTTATTTAAAAAATGAAACTTGGACCAGGTTTCACAAGAACAGTAAGTTGATTTAAGTTTTTTCCCCAATATTGCCTATTTTTCAGGTAGATCTATATGTAGATATTTTCAGTTCAGAAAGTGAAACCGTCTGTTTAAATCTAGATTATACCATTTGTAACAGGGTGACCCAGGAGAGAGAGGACCCCCTGGACCAGCTGGATCATCTATTCAGGGACCTGCTGGACCAAAGGTGATTATCTGATATGCATTTCCTGGAGACCAGAGATTGGAAAGTTTCTAGTGCACATTTCTATCAAAATTAAAAGAATTTAACTTTAAAAAGTTAAAATTCCATGTTGTAGTCACAAAAAGATTGAATTTCAGAAATAAGAACTAAAAAGCAGTAAAAATTAACGAAGAGTGTTTGGAGTCCATTTAACAGCATGCTGAACTTGATGCATAGTTATTGTCTCCTGAAGCCGTTTGTTTAAAATAAAAGATCCTGATTAGATTTCTGTTGTGCAATGAATCACTTTGAAGTTTTTTTTTTCCAAATTTACTATGCATTTTTTTTCTTAGAATATGGCATTAAAACCCTGTAAGAATGTGTCTGTGTATAGTTCTAAGGAGTTATATGCTGAACTAGATGATTTTTTTTTTTGGAGATGGATGTTTGTATGTTACTTCAAGGGAACACCTGTAGGTACTGCTTGAAATGAAATGACATATAAAGATAGCTAGGGCTACGTCCATCTCATTTTCTCTATGGAGAAAATGTACCTGACATGAGTGGGAGTTGGCCTGCTGAGTAAAATAGGTGGGTTCAGCAACAGTAACTCTGACTTTGAAGGTTTTAAAAACGTTTGAAAATTCACTGCTATTTTACTTACTCTTGTTATAATACGTCAGGTAACTTCAACTTTAAGTGATGCTTTTCAGCTTTGGCATTAGTTTTTAGAGTGGATGAACCACTAACGTACATCCTATCACTCTGAAGTAATTTCATCCCCATTTTTCTTCTTCCTTAAAAATATATGTGCACCCACACACAAGTAAATGAGGGTATTGCACATACAATATACTCAATCTGGCTATAGGACACCACAGAGGGCTATGATGTGGTTTGTGCTTGTTTGTGCATGGAGGAGAAAGAAAGAAGGGAATGCAAAAAGCTCAGTGTACACCTGGAGTAAAAAGGCAAACACAGAGAAGCAAGGAGACGTGGGGTGCTCATATCTCCTATAATGGTTTCAAACCATAATAATGTGCCAAATTTTATGTGAGGAAAATACAAGTGGCATGCTGTAAGGCATGACTTCTGTGAAGACAGGTTTCACTACAGTGGTCTCCCTTCTTCACATTTTTCTGGTTGCTGTGACATTTTTTGATAGACCAGTAAGCAAGTGAAGATTGTTCACTGATAAAAGCCATGCTGAAAAATAACAGCTTTTCATACTTTATTGCCTTTTTCACTATGATTTTATTCTGTTCAATACAGTTCATATCACTTTTATAGCAGATGGACCATGATCCAAAATTCACTGAGGTCTGTAGGAGTTTTTCCAAACCCTTTACTGAATTTTAGAGCAGTGCTTATATGTGCAGTGGCTGATGAGAGAAAACAAGTGTTTTGGGTAATTATAAAATGCAAGTTGATTTTTAGAAAATATTCAAAACTTTGCGTCTTTAGCTCCATAATAATTTCTCTGTTTAGACAAATATCTACTGTGTTTCTGTGTTGATAGTAATAGGCTACACAAGTTTGTTTTCTCTTTCCACCATGGAAGTACAATGATAAGTAGTAATTGTGTTCCTGAAACATCCCGGTATGTGCAGCAGAAAAGAAAGACATTGTAAACTTCTAATGTGAGGAATGTTTTTCAAAGCTGGGAGTTACCATGGTCTGAGGTCTTTTTTGGGGACATCTCTAAGTATTTGAGGTAGTAGTGGGTGATTGCCAGTGGTTTTAACTCCTGGACAGCCATGGTCCAGGAATGGCCTGAAGTTGTGTCAGGGGAGATTGAGGTTGGATATTAGTAAAAGGTTCTTCACCCAGAGGGTGGTTGAAAACTGGAACAGGCTCCCCAAGGAAGTGGTCACCACACCAAGCCTGACAGAGTTCAAGAAGCATTTGGATGATACGTGGTGTGACTCATGGGGGTGGTCCTGTGCAGGGTCAGGAGTTGGACTTTTTGATCCTTGTGGGTCCCTTCCAACTTGGCCTGTTCTGTGATTCTGTGATTGGAAGTTTATTTATTTTAAGCTACACCCACATTTGGGGGCTGGAGTTTTATTTCCCTTGACAACCATTATGCTGTTACTAATATGGAGATAGTAACATTAGAAAGCTCTTTTTTCTAATATTTCTTTGTCATGGTTACAGCTGCTCAGTGATTTTGATAGAATATTTGATCTGCATTCTCTAGTGAATGTTTCCTGAAATACTGCCTGTCCTTCTCACTAGTGTGAAAAATTGCAAATGTTTCATTGAAAACTGAAATTTTCTTCGTAAGATCCTTAATGTAAAGTGAAACATCTGTTGCCATAGATTAAACACTAGAAGGAGACAAATTTTGCTCTGTGAAGGGATAACGTAAGGAACATGAATTCTAAGCCAGATTGCTTTCCAGGAAAGCCACTGACAGAGCTAAGATTACCAAACAGTTGTACTGGATAATATTTGAGGAAAACTCAAGTTTCTCCCTGAATCTTCAGACTGTGGAGCTTGCAATTTTGAAATGCTGCACCATTGCATTTATAGGCTTTCTAAACATACTCTGTGTCAGCACTTGTCTGAATTTCCTTGCTGTTCTCTATGTGCTTTGGTAGAAACGAAGTTGTGCAGCCTTGCTGATGTGAGCAAAAGCAGGCAGAAGCCACAGGTGCATCTGGCCCCTGAAACTGAATTATAATATTCAACCTTCAGTTGGAAACTAAACCCATCAAGTTATTCATCAAGGCAGAACAAAATCTTTGACATAGTTGCAGAGAAACAAAAGTATAAGACAGGTCAGAATCAAGGTAGTAAAATATTCCTCTAGAAATACTGATTTCATATTACCTAACTCAAGAATTGTCACTGTCAGAAACAATTGAATACTCGTTCTTTTCTGTAAAACTTTGGAAATTAAAGCTGAATATAATGAATATAATTTTGAATTTGTTTCTTTTTGGATAGGGGGATCCTGGACCCAAGGGGTCACGGGGAGAGAATGGACTTCCTGGAAATTCAATAATGGGACCAACAGTAGGAGTTTTTAGACAAAAGATGGAAAGTAAATAAACATGAGACAAATGCAAAACTCTTGTGAAAATATACACACCACTTGAATGACTTTTTTTAGATAGGAACTCACCAATTCTTCAACTTTTCCATCACTCCAGGTTAAGTCTGTTTTTAAAATAAACTTATTATCTTTTCAAAGAAGAAACACAAAATAGTTTAAATGACTAGTCCAGTATACCTCACCCTGGAAGCTTCCCACAGGAAGTCTTCATTAGGAAGGTAGTTCTTCAAATTCATCTCCACCTGTCATTATCTCATGTGGTCTTTTATAGCTCTCTGTGGGCAATATGCTCTTTACTGAGTATAAACTAAGAGATAATAGTTATTTTAATGGTATTTCAGTATAACAGTATTTCAGTATTATCAACCTTGCATATTCAAAAGCATAAGTAAGACCTAATGTAAAGAATTTTAAAAATAGATCTTTTGAAAGTACTGCTTTGTATGTATATTACAGAACAGGATTTACTTGGTTATCTCCTTACAGCCTTAACATCAACACCAAGAATGAAGTACAGTAGACTGTAGCAGGATTGCTGTGCTCACTGTTCTAGCCTTTAGTGGTTAAATGACAAGATCAACACACAAGTGAAAGACCAGAGATGAAACTGAGGATCCAGTATTAACACAGAGACTGCATGCTTTACAAAAGTAGGAGAATGAAAAGTTCTCTTCTGTAGTGCACATGAGTTTGTACAAAGGCTGCTGGAAGAATAAGGTAAGATCAAGGACCATCCTCTTGCCATTGAGAAAAAACTTAGAATTTAGATTAATTTACAAGAGAATGACATTTATGGTGTTTTATCACTGTTGAACAGTAAATTGAAATTTTCAAGGAATGGTTCTCTCTCTCCTGTTTCTTAAGTGGTAATAGTAGTTCAGGGTGATTTTTAGGTACATAAAGTTATGACAGCTTTTTCTCCTTGAATAATGCATTACAGTTAGCATGGAATTTGGCTGATATTTTAACACCAAGTTACCGAAACCCTTAAGTAGGATTTTTCCTTGACTCCTTGGAATTGCCTTTCATTTAACTAATCAGAATAATAAGGCAGCATTAGACAACCATGCCCCTCACCTTTCTACATTATTTAAGAGCAAACTGAAAAGAGCAGTCCCTAGAACTGATCCTAAGTCCTCTACTGCAAAACCTGAATATATTTCCTTTTACTTTGCAGCTTTCACCTCCTCCCCTTTAACACAGTTTATATCATATTGTATTTCTATCAGTTGTGATCTGGGTTGGAACTTTCTATAAGCCTTCTACCACTTGTCATAAGAGAATAGTTCAAGGAAAGGTACCATTCTTGTGATCTCCTTTCCAGACTGAAACCAGGAACTTTCTTTGTAAACCTAATTTTTTTTTCTTTTCTTTTCTTTCCACATTTATCATGTCTGCATATAAAATATTCTGCTCAATTCCACTGTTTCACTTTGTGGAAATATAGATGATAGACCCAAATTCAGAAACCAATTAGTTTATGTGTACCGAACACAATGTAATTCAAAATAAAGCACTTAATGCAATAACTTTTTTGTGATAACATCTTAGGAATAGCAATAGTGCTTTACGCCTGGTTTGCCAAATTTCTATCAGTACACCTACACCTACCAGAGAATGCTGCATAGCACACTGAATCACACACACTTACTAGCATTCTTTTTTGATTTTAAAAACCACTAGATTTATTTACTATGTCTATGATCTAGAATATTAAAGTGTTTTTCTTATACAAAGAAGTGATGAACATGACTTAATTGCCCAGTCATATATTTAATCAATTAGGTTTTGTTATGGCAGCTGATTTTTTCTTAGTAATGACCATGGACGCAAGATTTATGTTTGCATACTTTTTTTTCTTTGAAAGAGTGTAGAAGCAACTATCTCTATATTACTACTTTAGAAAATTACTTTAAAACCTCCCTGGAAAGGCTGAAAAATAGATGAATTCATTCAGCAGGCCATCTGCGACATCAGTGGCACTTGCATTTTTGCCAGTGCACCAACTTTGAGTCACTGTGACTGTCTGTTCCAGACATCACAAAATTCTTTGAAGAAGTAATCACAGAATTGCTCCTAGGCCCTCTCTTGTGTATTTTCAGTGTAACTATTAAAAAAAAAAAAAACTAACAAAATAATCTGGACTAGAGAACTGTTTCTTACATAATATTTGGGTGTAGATTTGACTTAAGTAGATTTTTAGCATTTATAGCTATAAATGGCAAAACCAGACACTTGACAAAATCCCAGTTCTTACAGAAGGGAATGTGTTAACATGTATTTGGTATTTACAGTGGTCTCTTAAGATTAAATGAAAACATCTGTTCGGCCATTTCTTACTGTAGTGAGATTAGAAGTAAAAGCAGATATGAACCCATGGGCAGACATGAGCCCATGATCCAGGTTTTCCTTTATTATTAAATAAATTTTTATTAAACATTTCTAAAACATTTCACATTTTATCCAGAGTTTAAGAACTGTGGATATTAAGAATCATGAAGAGGTAAAATTGACTTTCCATTATAAAGTTAAACCTAGAAGCACGCTCATTGTTTAAATTTTCACAGAGCTGGACCAGAATTTCATCATTTGAAAATTAGAAAACATGAAGAAACATCTTCCAGGGCTGACACAGTTTGAATCTCGTGGTCAGGGTCTGTTTAAAATCTTCCAGTTAAATGATCCTGTTGGATTTGAGAATAGAAATGATTCATACAGGAGTGACTTATTATGTAAAATTTTCTTAAACATAAGGCATGCTTGCATCCCTATTCCAAATCTCATCTTAAGGTAATTTCAAGGTTTCATCTTAACCAGAACATTGGGTCTACCTTGTGTTTCTTCATTTACCTACCTCCTCACCCAAACCTGCAATATATATCTTTAGAAGACCCAAAGCAGCTCTTCCATTCTTCTGACAGGACTAAATTGGTTAATAAGATCTGATTATTTGTATCTATGGTAGAGACATTCATGGGACAGGAAATTTGGACCCAAAGTCTGTTTTTGTTGGATATCTAACTAGAGTACGAGTTGATTTATTCTCCAGCTATGGACACTGTATTCAGACAGACCAGCTGCTAAGATCTGAGCTGCTAACAGGACTCCATTCTTGGTTTCTTGAAGTATTATGTTGTTGCAGAAATTCACAGATGCATTGCAAGGATGAAGCAGCAGTTTCCAGTCATTCATAGTTTCATTTTTCTAGTTATTTACTTTTACTGGAACAGACAGGGAAATATTTGCTATTGGTATGTAATTATTCTTGAGGGTATATTATGTGTATGTATATTGAAAATAGGAGTTGTTTACAACACTCTACAACACGCTTTTGTAGAGTCTATTAACAGTTCTTGGCTCTGTGGGACTGAGTGAAAGGCATGCACTTCTCTCTGTATGGCCATATCCATACCATGCTTAGGAGTGAGGTGGATGTGTGACCTACAAGCATCAATAGGGATTTCTGATTGCCAGTGCTGTCATGTGAACATCTACAGTACAGACCAACAGCATATCTTGACAGATGCCTGAAAGTAATGTTTTCTTTCTCGGTTCTGTGAAGAACAGTCTATTGGAAGCTCAGTTAATTTTCCCGTAAAATGTCAGGAAAACAATCAGTGGAATGAGGAAAGAGGAGAAGTTTGCTGTTTGCTTCTCTTCTGGCCATGAAAGGAAGCATTGAGGTTTTGCAGATGCACAAATCTTTAGTGGAAGTCAGTAGAAAAGTCAACAGAAGGAGCGACTGTCTCTTGATACAGAGCATTTTAGGCTGAACTAAGAGAAATTATCTCTTTATTATAACTGGTTGTACTTCTTTCTTTTACTATTTTCCCTTGTCAAATGCAGTTTTGCATTACTGTATGAGAGAACCAATGTGATTACCTGTAAGTGCAAAATATGCAACATATAACTTAAGGCTGCTATATAATGTTTCAGTATTGTTCAGTTCATTTCTCAAATGTTAGTACTTACCCCCAAATTCATAAAAGTTTGAGTTTTTAAAAATGAATTTAGCTTTGTACTGGCTGAAGATAAAGTCAGTGTTCTGGAGATTTCTCTCTACAATTAAGAATCTAGAAATTAATAATTTCCTAATAAGAACTCCTATTCTTCTAAGATCTCAATTCAAGCAATTTAAACAATTAAAAAAGCACAAACATTCCCAGACTTTGCGAACAAATTGCAAGAGCTGGTAACTGCTAGTCTATATTTCCAAAAAGATGTTAAATAGTTTCCTTACGTATTTTTAATATTTGTTACATTGTGAAGATCCATTTACTGGCATGATTTCTGACTTTAAGGGAACCCAGGACTACCTGGACCACCTGGACCCCCTGGAGCAAAAGGTGATTGTCACAAAGGTGAAGCTGTAAGTACAATTTTAATTCTGTACTTTGTGTTCTACTAGAAAAAAGAAAATTACTATGTGATAACTCAATATTTATCTGCTTAGATTTAGTTACTTAACTAAGTGCAATTAATCTTCCTTTAGCTAATTTAAATGCTTTATGTATATTTTGAAGTCCTTTCCTGTCCTAGATACAGTGCCAGTTCTACAGGCAGTCAGAACTGGATATAAACGTTCTCATTTCAGCACAATGAAAGGTATACCATGTAATTCTATGAAAATCTTTATGACTGCTTATACATGTTTAATATAATCAGTGCTTTGAATTCTTTTCCCTCCCTCCCTTTTCTTTACTGTTTTATGTTGAAGATTTCTAATACCATCTGCTTGGTCAAATTTTGCAGTTTCAATTCCTTGGGTTTTCAGCTGCTTTTCATACTGGGAGGTTAAATCCTCTTATCCGAAGATTTTCTATCTCTTGCTTTTCTGATGGTTGTCTCCAGAGGGGGTTAATGCAGCTGTTCCAGCTGCCAAATTCCATTACAAGGACATATCCTAAATTTCAGCCATCCAAACTATACGGACGTGTTTACCAACCTCTCACTAGAAAGTGAAAATACTGTTGCTGTCCTTCAACCACCAAGTCAAAATTCCACTAGCATTATTTTTTTTTGTGTCTCTAATCCAGCTTTATTTCAAACTACAATGATGCAGGCACTCACAAATGCACTGAGGTGGGGCCTGAGTGCTTTCAAATAAATCATGACTCAGCTCCAATTTCCTACCGTTCAAACTGTTCATGGAAAGATCTTTTGGGATCAAAATTAGTTCGTAAGGCACTCACTCAGAATTCCCGGTGTAATGTCACATACCTGACACATGTCATGTAATGAGTAAAGGTTCTGTTGTGCTGTAACACACATCTTTTCCCTGCTGTTCTGTGCCCAATGATCTGGAAAGACCAACTTCATAAACCACTGGCCAACATGGACAAGATTTATGTAGCTGTCTCTGTAGCATGGTGGGGCAAAGACATCTGCCTTATGAATGCTGAAAGAGAGGCTGGGAGTGCCTCCAACAGTGTGAAAGGCAGCTGAAGGGGCTGATGAATTGAGCGGGGAGTTCAGGAGAACAGACTATCAAACATAAATGCACCCAAGTCTGTTAGGGTGTCGTGACTTAAACCATGGAAATTAAGCACCATGCAGGCTGCTTGCTCAATCCCTCCTTTCTTCCCCCCCAACCCCAGTGGAATGGGGAGGAAAATCAAAGTAAAACTTGTATGTTGAGATAAGAACAGCTTAATAATTGAAAATAAAGTAAACTACAATAATAATGGTAAATAATAATAGTAATAATGATAATGAAAAGGAAACAAACGTGGTGCACAAGACAATTGCTCACCACCCACTAACCAATGCCAGGCCCTCCTTCCCGAACCCAGATTGGCCCCAATTCTAGGTAACTCCCCCCAGTTTATACACTGGGCATGACATCCTATGGTGTGGAATATCCTCTTTGGTCAGTTCAGGTCACCTGTCCTGTCTATGCTCCCTCCCACTGGCAGAGCATAAGACAAGGAAAAATGTCATTGACTTGGGATAAACATGATTTAGCTAAAAACCACAACATGAGTGTGTTATCAACAACATTCTCTCATGAATCCAAAACACAGCACTGTAACAGCTACTGAGAAGAAATTAACTGTACCCTAACTGAAACCAGGACACGGGGTTACTTGACCCCCAAATTTAGGTGGGTTAGCTCTGGTATTCCAGTTGTCTGATGTCTGCAGTGTATGAATCATGGAGCATTGTCTGCTTTCTCGCTGTTTTCTCTGAGCTGAGAACAACTCAAATGTTCTTCAGTCAAGAGCTGTACTTTTTTTCAGCCACTCTAATAGTCTTTTTATGTTTCCACCTGGGACTGAGGACGGCTGTTGCTCAGTACACATCAGAAATGTGAAGAAATTCTCTTCTTTGTTGAAGCATATAAGTACTCTTCCCTTAGGACAACTACTGACATGCTTTATTCCTCTGCTGTACCAGGGACCTCCAGGACCAGCAGGCCCAAAAGGTGTGGGAGATGCTAGACCAAAAGTACTTGTACAATAGTAGTACATGCATCTGACTCATAGACAAGGTAGACAAATATCTTCTAAAAATGCAGTAGATTAGAATAAAAAAATATGACACAGTATAGCATTCTCATTTTTCACTTTCCATTTCAGTTAGAAGAAAAGCTTGTGATAAACTTTTCTGCTACGATAGAAACTAGTTCTTGCTTTATCCCCAGACTTGATGCAAATCTGCAGATTTTCCATGCATCCAAAGATCCAGAATGTTTCTAGATGCTGGTGTTTCCATGTGGAAGTAAGATTCCAACACAAGCATGGTGTTGCCTAGTAATTATGCCCTTCCTTTCTCCTGCAGAAGTGCAAAGCACGAGGCCAAAAGGGAGTCAGGGGTTACATGGAACTAGTGAGATATTTTTAAAGTTCCTAGAAATGGATTCCTACGAGAAGACTATACATTTTTATCTAAAATTAATATTTGTTTAGAGACAAAACTCGACAGAGAAAACAAACAAACAAAGAAGCTGACAAAGGGATTAGAAATACAACACTGAAGCACTTCCAAGATTTTTCATAAAACACAGGATAAAATGTTATAAGCAGTATGTCATTCACCTAAAAAGTCACATTTTTACTACTACACTATAAAAAGTCAGAAAAAGAGACTTAAGACTAAAATCATCCAGCAAATTGCTTTAAAATAACCCATGGAATGGTTTTATTAATGATTTCCTCATTACTTATGTGAAATAGAAAACAAGCATCAGGAGAAAACAAAATAAATATTGCCCAAAGAAGTTTTTTCCCAAACAGAAAGAACTTTCAACTTCAATTCCCAGAACATGAGAATTCCTGTTTAAAATAAATTTCAATAACCTCTTAAAAATATCCATAATAAAGGACAAACTTAAAGACATTCATTCTTAGAAGGACTTGACCTTAGAATTACCACAAAGTGGGATCTAAGAAACCTGGCTTTGTGCTTCTATTCTGAATAACCGCTTATCAATATGAGGCATTTCACATCAAGTAATGCAAGGTCCATGACACAAGCTACCAAAGAACTAAAAGTAATGTCAATTATATTATTCAGGATAAACTTATGGAAATGCATATGGCTTAACTAATTAAATTTTTCTGTATGAGATTGTATCTTTTCCAATTTTAGATATCAGACTTTATATGATATAGTCTTATAATACATTTTTGTTGGTACTACAGAAAAATATTTCATTAAAATCTTAGAATCTCATATGAAATTATTATTAATGTTGTTAAAAATGTAACTTATGACTACAAAATGTCTAGGGGCATCATTTTGTCTGGAATTCCTCCTTATTTCCTAAATGTATAATTCTTGAAGGTAATGTTTCTCAAAGAAAAGGAATTGGAAAGTCGTGTCAGGTAATCAAATAAGATGATCTCCCACTATGATGCCATGGTTTAAATATTAAAAACTTCAGAAACATAAATCAGAATTTCAGTGGGACCATAGGAGGCTAATATAAAGAAATTTGACTTAAATCTAAAATCGAAATAAAAGATTACTTTTTAATTGAAAGGAAACCACTAGAATAATTGCAGTGAAATTTCTCACAACAGTAAGTTTTAAAATCAATGCTTGTGTTGTGTTTCTGAAAAATATCACAAATACACAAGTATACAGGAATGCACTGAGGAAAATAGTAGTGCCTGGCTTAAATGTGATATCAGAAAGTGGGCCACAAGTTCCTTTTCTTCTTGTAATCATGAATTCATGGAATTCATGGGCTGTATAATTATTAGAAAAGTTCCAGCTCAGATCATGAATGATGGAAGTACAATAGGGTATCATAAAATGCATTAGAAAGGAGGAGGTAAAAGCTGTAGAGTAAGAGAAAATGTGTCCAGTTTTTGCAGTGGAGGACATGGGATCTAGCCTTTTTATCACAGTTGTTCTTAAACCACTGTAAGTCTTCTGATGAAATGTTGAATATATTTAATTAAATCATAGGTTAGCTATTATAGTACTTACAGTTTCCAATTTTGTCTCTAAGTAATGTAAATTATTGCCAGTTGAAGAGAGTTGGTCACATTCCTTTACAGAGACATCAAGTCCTTGCTTGTTGGTCCCTTCTCCACCCATGAACATAGAAAGTATTACCATTCCTCAAGATCTGCGGAGTGAAGTGTATTCATGGTACTAGTAAAGAGATTTATTGGTAGCATATTTTTATGGAGGAATATGACCTGTGTTGAGTTAGTTGAACATTATCAATTAATAATAAATTTGGCAAAAGGCCTGTTGCTTTGACCTAGATTTGACTGAGCAAAAGTGAAATAGCAGGCACCAAGAGGCGAGGCTCATAATTTCATAGTATTTAATTACAACAGGAAATAGTATAATGGAATATCTAGTAGTAGAAATTCTTATCCTTATCTTAGGCAAAAACAAACTGATAAATAGTTGTCACTATTCTCATGTGCTCCCCATCAGTTCTAAGTCCATCAAGTCATCTCCATTGTCACAAAAACTGTCAGAATTAGGTTGCTTGAAACTAAGAACCAAATTATTGAAAAGCATGTGTTGGAAGGAAGCTGCATTTTCAGGTTCATAGAGCAGGGCCTCCTGTGGCTGTGGGAGCTGGGTGTGATGCAGCCTGAGGAGCAAACCCTCAGCATGTGAGTCAGTTTAGTTTGGACACCACAAGTACAAACTCAGAGTCTTAGCTGATCTGCGTGTGTGTTTTAGGCTCGATTGGAGATGTGCTGTTGATGAGAATCTCCTAATGGACCTATTTACTGTGCTTTGATTTCCAGACCAAAAAGGAGTTTCAGTGGTCCCACAAGCCAGGAAGTGGATTTCCTTCAGATGAAGCTAAACTAGATGATCTGATCTGCAAGTCATGTAGGGTGGAATGTATGTTGTTCTATCCATAGTGAGCAGCTGTAGCTTTTGCAGTGTATGACTGCTGCACAAAAACATGCATTATCCAATGAGATATAACATCTCTGATTTAGTTCTGTGTATCCACACCAGACATAGTATAGAGTGGACTGGAAAAAAAGAAACTAAATATATAAACTTCTCTTTCCCTGATTTTTTGCTTCTGTTCGCCCATATTACATTTTGAATCCTTAATCTCTACATAACTTCTTGGTGTCAAAGATTCCACAAGGAAAGAGAATTTACCTGAATTGCAAGAATTCCACCAGAACTTAGTTCATAAAATGGATGATCTTCTGTTTTTTTCAAATAAAATATAAGTGCACTGGCTACCTCTTATCCCTCCCACATAAAAAAAGTGAATATAAGAACAGCAAAAATCTCTGCATATAAAAAAGAACATTTATTTGATAAAAGAGAGTCATAAATTTACACACTAGTTAATTTGAAATTCCTTTGAGTATCATTATATAGGAATGTTTCACTCATTTGAATCAGAGCTCTGTTCTCTCTGCTTTCAGAAATGGCTCACATATGTGCACACTGCCAGATGGGAATTTTATATATCAGAGGTCAAATTCACATGAAAACAAAATTGTAACATGTGGGATGCATTCAATCCTGGCAGCACCCTATTTTCTGTAGCATTAAAACGGAAGCACATAATGTCAGAATACAATAAAAACTTTGATTTAAAAGCACTGTTGCCAGCTAGGAGGTAGGTTACAGACATTCAAGTGCAAGAGCCCAGCACTAGAAATAGAGCAAATAACTAGACAGCAGAAAGATTATTAAAATCCCTAGCACAGTCCCTAGTGCACGAACATTTGGGCTGGATCCAGTTGCAATATAAACAACCTTTGCAGCTTGGGCCCTGACTATTTGAACTAAAATGTGGAAAGTAGAGGTGTAATATCTTTTTTTATAATATTTTTGTCTTACAAGTACTGTTATATCCATTAGCTGTCACTGCAGTATTGCAGTGTCTGCTGTAATTTTGAGTATCAAATACCTATGCTTTACAGTAAATGAGGTATATATATTTGGAAGCCAAGATTTACTTTTCAGTGACCATTAGGTCATTTTTCTTGAATAAATGGTACAGAACAGACATAGGAATCCCATACTTTACACTGTCTTGACTCAGCTCTTTATTTCTTATTTCAGTGGTGTTTTTCTAGTTCACTGTTTTGCTGATGGTGATAAGCTTGTCTACAAGCACAATGCAAGAAATAAATTAGACCTCATCAAAAACCAGTACTAATCCTTCTTGAAATGAATTCTATGGAGGACAGTTTAGTGTGACACCTTAGAAAAAAGAACTGTTCCACTTCGCAACTCATAAAGCAAATAAAAGTCTTTTTCTTTAAGCCAAGAAATACAGAAAGTTTGAGGATTACTATAAAGCTCTACAAAAGAGCTTTTCAGTGAGACATCTGTTATTAACTAAGCATGTGAGGATAAAATTGGATCCTTCACCTGCAACGACCCTGTGTAAGACTGCGTTACCCATGGGAGGAAGAGTTGGATGACTTCAAGTCACCCTTATGCTCTTTGTGGTCTAGGCTGGTCTAAGAGCAGGTTGTAGGTATATGGAATACTGGACCATAAGGAATCATTTATGTTTGGTAACCTCCCATTCAGCTTCCATCACAGCAGCTCACAGTCAGTCTGTTTCTCAGGGGAGCCCAAGATGCCCTAAAAAGTACTTGTAATGAAAAGTCTTATCTGTATATATCTCTTTGTATCTCTTAGCTATGGCACTTCTAGCAGGTTTCAGAGGGAGGCTTGGGCAAGGAAAGCTTTGGCTGCTCTGTGCAACTTCTGCTCACAAAGAGTTCCACAAACAGCTTAAGGCTGTATTATGGTTGTGGAGACATTGAGTACCAATAAATACTCCTTTGATAACAAATGGCTACATTTGCCTAAACTCTCAGTATTTCCTAATAATGAGACAATCTCAAGGAAATTGTAAGAAAATGCATTACATGTGGAATTGAGAAACTGGACATATTTTAAAACATCAGAAATATCTACCAGTCATCCCACTGCAGAGGGGCATTTCACATCACCATGTACCAGACTAAAGAGCTACAATATTTACATACTTGAGATTGAAATCTTTAAGAGTTTATAGATAAAATTTTGGAAAAAAAATTCAAGGGCATTGCCAATGTCTTGGCTCTTTGCACTGGCAGGGAAGGTGTGATATAAAAACCTTAGGTCATCTGAGAGAGAAATTTCCTCACAACTGAACATGGCAGTCAGTTTAACCCAATCAGCCTGACACAGCAATTTAAAGCTAAGAGCATCCATGTCCCATGCTTATGTCCTGACTCAAACTGGCCAGTCTCCAGTGCTTTGGAAGAAAGAATGGAAATGAAATTCCAAAGCCAAGCGTTGCATCGACAAGGAAAGCATTATAAGCTCAGGGTAGGCCTTAGCCTTTGTATTCAGAGTTCTCACCTCTCCAAATCCCTCAAACCTGAGCATAGTTTGGGCCCTGGTATATTTGCATAAATAGCATATATGTTGGGACCTAGCATGAGAGTATCATAGCCATATATAAAAAAACTCAGATAGGAGTGATGTCTTGCTAGAGATTGAACCTTGGGAATTTCACCTAAAAGCAGCCACTATAATGGCTGTGCACATTCTTCCCGTGAAGTAAAGAAAATCAGTAAAAGATTCTGCTTCTCTCCTTCCTTTTTTATCTGTTTCATATGTTGTTTCATTTCACCTATCACAACTTAAGTGGCATCTGTGATTTGTGTGATTTATACTTGCACCTCTCTCCTAGATCGAATATTCCCTCTGCAAGGCACAGCCCTTTCTACAGTTTTTCCGACTGCAAAAATAAGTACAATGAAGAGTTTTTATAATTTTTTTTATTATTATGTCAATAAATGCAATTTCTTCTGCTCTGTTTTTAATATATTGGATGATCAATAGCTTATCAGTAAATTTCTTTCTTTTGCACTTGCCTGTGCAGTCATAGGTGTAGGGATATCCGGCTAAGCCTGATCCAGAATATTCTGCATTTATAACTCATCTGTTAGGAACTTTTTTTTTCTTTTCAAACTCATGGGAGTTTTCCAGTGATGATTTGTCCAGTGATGATTTGTACAATTATGGACTGAGGAAAACAAAACTGCCTCTTCTGTCCCTGTGCATTCCCGCTATCGCCAGTGTCCCTTGACCCTCATCTCCTTTGCTGGGTTTGTCTGCAGCACAAGGCTCAATGTTACACTCATTTTCCCCTGACTAGACAGCTGCTGCCTTCTCTCTGCCTGGTGGTTAAGGATGAGTCCCTTGTGGGTTTTCTTTGTTTCTCAGTAAAAGCATAGATTGATTCTACTGCCACTACCCAGCCTCCACCTATCACCAAAACTGTTGAGAATGAATATGCTCAAGGTCCATACATTTCTGATGAATTTGGCTGAAATCAACTGATGACTTCTTAATATACTGGAAGAAAAAAAGAGGACCAACACAGACAAGCAGAAGCACAGGCAAAGTATCTCTCAAGCCTCATTTCCTAAAGAAATCAAGCTGAAAGTATTTGTATTAAGGCTTTCTAAGAAAACAAAGGCTATTCTTTTTATTCTTCTATATTAACTCTATTAAAATTCATTTAGTTTTCATAATTGCCTAAGTTTGACAGTTCTGGAAATTAAATGTTTCTAGCGTCAGAACGAGCACAAAATCAGTAAAGGGCATGATCACTATTGTGTCCCACTGGTAAGTTTCCAGTCCATCCTGGTAAACCGCTGCAAAAGATGGTATTGTTTCCAAATGGGTTTGCTTTTCTTTTTTTCTGTACCTGATAAGTTTGCAAAGTAGAGTCCTAGCTCTGTTGGTGATTTTGATCACATGGACCTTCACGTAGAGCATAAATAATGTTGGTGCTGTATTTTGGGTGCCTTTTTTATACCTATCTATGAAGCAGCTGTTTATTCATGTAGCATTTATTTAGCTTGTTTTTTAAACTAATTAGTTTGACTGCTTCGTATGTAGATGGAAGATGTAATAGTTATTAGGTGATAAATGACTGAGATTTCTGTGACTATTTTCAGGGACACCGTGGAATTAGAGGCTGTCCTGGGCCCCTGGGGCGACCAGGAATCGGAACCATTGGTCCCAAGGTTTGTACGATGCTGTGTTGAAGTTTTTGTGCTGTTTTGTGATGCTGGCTGCCAGACTCTGGTCTTTCAGACACCAAAAGATCTTCATTGGTTATTGATTTACATCCATAAAACTGCAAGAGGAATCAAGCATAAAAACATGGTCACTGACCATACACTTCTACCAACTGAATTAGGAAGGGATACCAAGAGGATAAAAATTGCATTTGCAGCTAAACTTTATGAGATTACAGCTGGAAATTGAACAGAGCCATTAGACTGGTTAATCAGTTAAAAGATGCATCTCTTCTGCCGGTATCTATCCTGTTTCCAATATATTCTTTTGTGGTGGAAAATACATTAAATGTGAATTTTTTGTTGCAATTTTTGCTCAATTAAATCAAATCCAATTATATAATTAGTAAAACCATTAGGAAAGAAACATGAAAATAAATTGCTAATTTTATAAGCAAAAACCATGCAACATCTGGGCAATTTTTTCTCCCTGCACTAAAGTGATTTATAATTCAAAAGAGACATACTGAGAAGAAAAGAAATTCTGTACTTACCTGGATTTCTTTATTGCAGGTGTATCCATCAATTATTTTTACAAAGGCAATGAGGAGAAAGATTGTGTATATTTCTCTGCTTTAATTTAATTTAAAAATAGATATGACTTTGTAACTTTTCTAGAATTAGCAGAGTAACAGAAGTCTCCACTGCCCTTTTGTATAAACTGGTATCTGAATTAAGAAACATTGCTATTACCAACCCCTTACAGAAATGCAATAAGCGACAGAGCATTTTCGGATGTGACTGATTTCCTTTGCAATTGCTGCAGCAATTTCAGTACCTTGGTAAATTATACTGACACAGTCTGTTTAATAATAGTAAGTTTGGACTGAGTGTCAAAATGCTACAAATGTGTGACACCCTGTGCTGTTTCCACAAAGCCTTCTTTTTTTGCCTCACTGTTATAGGGTATTATGGGACGGAAAGGCTTGCCTGGTCCACCTGGACTCCCTGGCAACAGCATACAAGGAAGCAAGGTAATACAGCTTAATGTGATATCTATCCAGTTTCTTCTTAAAACTGACTCTTAAGGAGATTGATTGTCTTTTTTCCTCTTTGTCACTGAGTAAGTGAACACCTGCAATATTTCATTTTACTCTTAAGTTTCCTATTAATAAATTAATCTCCCACATACTCTTAATCAGATTTTTATTCACCCAGTTCAAGCAGTCATAACCACAACTTCTCTCCTTATAAAGAGAAACACAAACATGACAACATATTCTGGACATTCAAAGTTATTAAATTGCCTTGTCATAAATGCGTAGAAAAAAATTATTAAAACTGGAGGCTCTAATGAAGAACAACCCAAGTTTCTCCTGTTTTTATTAAATCAGTGTGCTTAAAATTGAGCATATGATGGAATATGTTCCTGGTCAGGGGTGTTGTGCTCAGGTCTTCAAGTCTAGGTTGTCAAACCACCAGGAAGTCAGTAACAGGGGCATTGTTCTAGGCGGGCTAGAAAAAGTGTCTCTCTATACTGCGATTGGCTGTAGACACTAAAGCCTCTGGGGATTTCGTTGACAAACAGGTCTTCAATGGAAAATAATGACATTCTGCAACAAACAAACAAATTTATGAAAATGTATATTGTTTGAAAAATCATCCAGAGGAGAATCTTTCTTTGGTTCTTTGTAGAATTACTTCATACAAGCTTTACCAGAAAAGTACAGATTCCTTTGGAATTTATTTTGTTCAGGACTTGCTTTGATTCCATCTTTAATGTCTTCCATTTTTATATTTCTCTTCAATCATTTCCCTTTTTATTCTGCAGAGACCTTCCTTTTTTCACTATGAGGTGTTTCATAGCACAAAAACATACTTTATTATGTTCTTTCTTTTCCCCTTATTGTATAAGTCACTTTTGCGGGTTCTGATTTATTTTGTTTCCAGGCTTTTCTAGACAGAGATCTCTATGCAGTTAGGAGTCACGACTGTCTAGACATTTGTTTCTGATCCATTTGCAGTTTACCTCTATATTAATTGCTAACAGTAACCACAAAGCTATTATGTATTTTAGTGTGAGAACATAAAATACTTCTTATCTTCTTTTGTCTTCTCCCTTTGTTTGTTGAATCTCTGAAGGCTCTTTGCTTTATTCTTTTGAAAACCAGAAAAATTTCTGTCATCTATAGGAAAACTATTTCCTGCCTGTCTTTAATAACCATTTCTGCTGTATTTCCAGAATCTAATATTTGGGATATATCTTTGTTAATTCTATGAGTATGTGAGGCTATTTATAAAAGCATAATCACCATTCTGAACAGAAATGTTTCAGCAAATGCATCGGATGATACATGAAAAAATAATATAAATAATGTAATATCTTTTCTGTTTGTGAGAAAATATAAACATTACCCAAAATATGCTCGCATCTCTCTATCTACCTATCTATCTATCTATCTACATACGTTTCTCTCTATGTGTTTAGATACACACAGATGTATGTTTGGATGCTATGTTGGCACTTCTATGAATACATATCTAAAGCATACTTTAGAAGTATAGAGACCTCAGTTTCATTATCAAAGTTTTCCAGTGCCAGAGTACAGTTCACTGACACACAGTCAGACAAACGTATGTTTGTAACGTAAGGATGTGGAATTTAGGGATGTTGGAAAGTAACGTGTTCTGGTTATGGAAGGTCTTTGTCATTGGGTTTGAAAACAGAACTGTGATGATGTGGTGGATGAAACTCAGCTGGTGTTGTTTCTGTAGCATCTCATGAGTTGTATGGGTACAGTCTTGCCATTTCAATTTTCTTCCCTTAACAACTGCTTTTAAAAATTATGATTATTTTTATATAATTCTTAGGAATAGCTTATTTCTGAGCAGCTTTGGCAAATTGCTCTAGTGTACCTGTTTCCTCCATATACTGATGCCTGTTGAGCTTCTATCTGTCTATTTTGTCTTTCTGTATCTTCACATGTCAAGATTCATTCTTTTTGGCCACTCTTCATCAGCTTAAAGGTACTATCGTCCTGCATTTGAACTATCAATATCACTCCAAGTATTTTTTTATATATAGTAAGAGATCTCAGTGTGCATATGGTAAGAATGGAATGCCAAAAATGAGATGGTTTTTATGTAACTTTATGTTGATAGCTACTTTTACAGGTTTTCTTTTTTTATGCTTGGTTTCCTTTCAAAACCACAGTCTAGACATTCTCAAATCTGCACTCTGTTTATAGAATGACATTTTTGTGTAGAAGACTGATTATTGATCCATAATATAGCAGGATATTAGGGTCAGGAATTCAAGGGTTTGCATTTTTACCACTTTTTTTTTTTATGGTAAAGCTGATGGTCAAGTTTGAATTTAATTAGGTACATGGATTGAACTGACAAAGCTATAAATATTTTTAAATTAATACAGCATACTTTTAGGGTTTTACTAAATGTTCTGTTATGGCATCTATGGTAAATCCTTCTAATGTTGATTGATTGCACAAGTAGTGGAAGCAGGATTTGGTTCTGCAGTTGACATTTTAAAGGATGAAACTCATATGTGTGTTTGTGAGAAATGTCACTTGTAAAGGCATGAATTTGTTTAGAACAGTAGGTCTGATTCAGTTTTCACTGTCTGAACACCCTCCTAACAATGTCAAATGGGCAGTAACAAACAGCAGCAATAAATCTATAGTTTTATTGGATCTGACATTTATTATTAGTGAAGGACCACTGGAATAAACAGCATATCCTAATTCTGGTTCATATGTATGTGCTCTGCAGACCTGCAAAGGTGTTGGTCAGGAAGCTGTGTGATGGCCCTAGTCAGGAAAGATAGTCAAAGCCACTGCTGAACAGCAAGCCTTGAAACAAGCTGGCACACTGTTTCACTGTGTTTAAAAGCCATTTCCATTAATCCCTAAATGAAGGGCCCAAGAAGCACAGTCCTGCTAAAAAGTGACTTAGAGTAAATTAGATTAAATAGTCACTATGAGTTCCTACAACAGTGCAAAAGAAATTGCTTTGTGCATCCCATTGCCTTAGGAGTATTTCCTATTTGCAGGAAATTTGTTTTTTGCCCCTGGTGGATCAGCTGTGTAAGTTAGTGCACCATAGTTTGTTTTCCAGTCTCCAGAGTCTCCATAATGGTGTCTGAATTTTTGCTGCTGTAAGAAACTGGGGAAAGGAGAACAGGAGTGGTTCTGCTTACAGAGGCAAGAGGCTGGCAGTTAGGAGGTCAGTGATACGTAGCCTGTCACAAGCGGAGTGTTTTAGCTCCCTGAGTTAGGGCTAGTGGACCAAGAGGCTCCCACAGGGCAAGGCTGTAAAGGCAGTGCTCCAGCGGAGATGTGGAGTGTAGTGGGGCCTTTCTATAGCACAAGGTGAGACCACAATGCACCCCTGTGCAAGCAGAAGCTCCCACCTCAGCAGGATCTCAGTCAAATCTGGAATTTGGACAGGGAACACCATCCACGGACGTGACTCATAGTACACTGTGTCTTCAAGCAGCTGCATCTCATTGCCTGACTCTTGGTGAATTCACACATCATGGGATTCAGAAGCCTTTAATGCCAGGAAGAAAAGGTTGACATGGCTGTGCACGTGCAGCTGCTTCTCTACCTGCAGAAATCTGTAAGCCCCTGTCCAGCACACCAGGAATGGTCAGTGGCCAGTCCTGCTGCAGTAGTGCACCTTTGGTAAAGGCTAGAGTCTTGATACTTGGAAACACTTTTGTAATTCTCTGCCCATTAGGAGCAATTCAACCCTTTAGGCCCATCTGTGAGCAGTAATACAAGTATTAGTAATAGATGCTTTAGTGGGACAGTCTGAGAGCTCTTGACTGAAAAACAGAACTGACTAACCTTGGACTTGCATCTCATGGAGTAGGTTTGGTACAGGTGATAACTGCTCCTGACCTCATTGACATTCTCTGGAGTTAGTTTTGGTATCTGCACCAGGCACTGCTGTTATGTGAATTATGTATGTAATATAAATTACGGTGAAGCATTTACGTACCAGGGAATATAATCACCTCTAGCTGTACTTAAAAAATGCATACAGCAGTTGATCTGAAAAAAAAATTTGTGTTACCCTATTAAATAAAGCAAGAAAGTTTTGGAAGCCAGATGCTGTGAAGAGTTTTCTCTGTATTTTATATAACAGCTGTGTTTTATAACGTTGTGTGACCACACTGCTAGCATGGACATGCTTTTCAAGTCTGTGTGCATGCAGCAGGGCATGTGTAACAATCATTACAAACAAATTTGAGCTTTGTAACTAAACTCATACTGTCTTTTGAAGTATCAGCAGAAAGATGTTCAGCTCAGCACACTGTGAAAAGCAGAGATGTCTTCTTATTTACTTAAGAGCAAAAAAATGAAGTCTGGGTGAGATGCTGGATGTGTATTTCCAGAGAACCTTTGTGTTGGATCTTGTTTTACTGCTTGTAGACAGAATGAATAACTGTCTGAGTCTCAGTGAGGTTACTTTTGTATTTCATCTGTTCTAGTGAAATGACAATTTTCATTTAGTTAATCAGGAATAAATTCTTCATTATATACTTTAAAAGGTTTCATGTACGTTCTGAATTATAGCCAATTGCTTATTTCTCCAGTTTCAGACCAATTTTATCTTGAAAATTGTGTGCTTCATTGCACAATACAAATATCTGGCTTTCTCTATGATGCACAATGTTCTAAAGTAAATAGAGACAACATAGATTTTACTTTAATTTTCATTTAAAATTAAATTTCATATTCTGTTCAGGGAGAAAAAGGAAATCAAGGTCTTCAAGGACCGAAGGGATCAATAGGAATTGGCCTTCCTGGACCAAAGGTAAATCCTAGGTTTGTGGTAAGGAAAAAAAAAAAAGGGGGATTTTCTTCCTTTATTCATCATTTGGTGTGACAGGTCTTTGAGGATAAACAGAAGGCAAAGACATTTCCTTGTATAGCTAGCAAGGTAAGTGCCTACTACTCACTGTCAGTTTTGGAGTCTGTGAAAATCCTAATTGTCACTAAGGACCACACTCCAAAGTAGGATCTAAAACAAGGTCATACCTGTTAGCAGGAGAATAATTTTAGTCAAATTATTTATTCAGTTATTTTAAATATTTCTCAGGTATTACAAAATGTCCTTTTATTTGCCAGGCTTTGAAAAAAAACCAAAACACAAAAACTGCTTTTTGACTGTCTCTTACGGACTTTGTTTTGTTTGACTCCTGTTTTTAACTACAATGATTGAAGCCCAAGACTGAATCTTTCCTTACTGAACAACTTTCTTGTTGATATAAAAATTGTGAGAATTTTCTGCACTTACCTATTCACATCTAACAAATTTTGAGCAAAGAGAATTTAAATACTTCTTTTATTTATTAGTGATTCTCAGATGTGCAGCTTCTGAAGGGAGCCGTTTATATTCATCTTGTATATTGATTAGTCTTTGTGATCCAATGTAAATCTCTCCAAGTACTCACTTTTCTGTTTGTTATTAATACAGCAGACTTGTCACACATGAAAAGGAATGGTTTAGTTCAGCAGGAATTTCATATGTATGCCAAATACCAAAGGGATCAGGTTTTAGTATATTTATGTGTAAGAGAGTAGCAGCACCACAGCAGTCAGCAGATTGTATTTGCTTTCCTATTATAATTAATGCTGACATTAACTTTGATGAGGTTAGATTCATGGACAGGTAATGGAAAGTGATATCCTTTGCTTTTGATATTATGATTTTGTGAAATAGAATAGGAACTGCCTTTCAAGAGCTTACTTAGTTGAGACTGGTTTTCTTAAACCAGCTGTGGAGGAGCTACGTACAGTTTTCAGGTTTATACCAGTTTGAATAAGATCAGAATCAGACTGAGAGTCAAAAGAGTTCCTTAAAATAGGTAACAATCACCACAGTGAAGGCTATAACACAGGAGCTACCTATGTGATTCCATTGGCTGGGTAATAATGAGGAATAATATCAACACGGACAGTAATCTAGATAAATTCCTAAGCTTTAAAGTTTCGAGTGGAATGTAAGCTGGTTAGTAACTTCCAGAGAGAAGTAAAAAACCTGTCCTGAACAACATCCTTCTTGAAAAAATGTCTGATTTAGAACCTAAAACTATTTACAGGATGTTTTATACCTGCATCATGTGAAAACTGTCTCATAATATGGAACCCTCCCAGGTTTTGGAAATCAGGAGGTATAGTCAGTTGAGGGAAAAAGTGCAGAATTGCTTCTAAATGTGAAACTATGTATTTTCCAATGGATGTAGCAGTCCAAGCATGCCTTTTCCTTTGTTCTTTGCAAGCTTGCAGTTTTTCATTTGGGTTCTCTACAGAGCTGGTGTGAGTTTCAGCACATTGGCTGATCTGAGGCAGTGACATCTCTCCATAGGTCTGAATCAACATAGGTCCAGTATAAACATTGGTTTAGAGTTCAAGAAAACCAAAGAACAGTAAATATTATATATTCTTGATATTTGCACAAAGATGTCTTTAAGCCCCCCTGCCAAACTGAGATAATTTTCCATAGAAATTTCTTAAAGATTTTTTACTGCCCATTTTGCTTTCTATGAGAGCCTGCTTTCAGATATTCTCTTCATAATACATGAAAGATAAACCAGCCACACACGCAAAAATCAGTAAATTCATCTTAAAAGCTTATCTTACCTCCAGCTCTAACAATCACCAAAACTGTAGTTATGACTGAGTTTATGAGTTTAACACAGTTGGTTTAAATTAGGGAGACTATAGAGATAAAGGTGATCCAGGGAGCAAAGGAGCCAAAGGAGAAATTGGAGACTCAGGACCTCCAGGACCAAAGGTAAAAAGTATTTTCATTTAACTAATTATACACAATAGAAATTAGACAAATTTGGCTTTTGTTAATTTATCTCACTGTACACATTTTCAGGGAACTTGGGGAAGAAAAGGTGAACCTCGTCTTATGGTAAGTATGTAAATGAATTACTTTAACAATTAATTAATTTGAATCAATAGGAGTTTATTTGGGGAAAAATGTTTAAAGGTTATGTGGGCTTACACAAAGTTGTTTATGGGACAATGCATTCCCTGCATTTTTGTAAATAAAGAAATAAATAAATATTTCAGCATTCGTAAAACTAGAACACACAACAAACTACTACAAACAACTACAACACACTACTTCTCTTTTTCAGAGAGAAGAAGTAGTTTAAAAGTTTTAAATTTTTTTTCCAAAAATCTGGCCTTGTTAAGTGAGTTTTAAATTCGAAAAGAAAAAACTGACAGCAGCCCCAGAAAACATCTTGTTCTTATTATACTTAGAACTATTATGATGCTTACTCAAAAAACACCAGAGGGCACAATTAATTTCTGTGAGACATGGAACAGTAAAACTGAAAGATATCACCTTGTACTATGTGTACTATGATGATCCACTTCATTTTATACCTACCAGGAATATTTTACCTTTAGCTGCACCTGGAAACCACAGTAGCAAAGCCCACTGGAATTGCAAGGAAGTCTAGGAATCTGCAGGATTTTCAAATCTGTTTTAATCTTGTGTGCCTGGGCAGTTGCTCTGGGGATGGGATTAGCTGTTGTGTTCAGCTACAGATCTCCGGACAAGGACATACATCTGCCTAAGAAATACTGGGGATAATGAGTTTGGGAATAAATATGAAGATGTAAGTTATGGGTTTGCAATATCTTTGATAATATTTGCTGAAAACCTTTCTGGTAAAGCTGACAAGCTTTAGTAAGTACTAATAGCAACAGTATTTGCTACTTAACAAGGTTTCTAAAAAAAGTTACTCTTTAACATGCATACAAGGAATCTTCTTAATGCAGTTAAACCAGTGCTATAGAGAAGACCACTGCTTTATTTTCCACTTTCATGCAGAGTTGACTAAACTTTCTGTAGCGAAGAGGTAAAAGCAAAGGTTATAAAGCTATTTAAAAGTTGTATGCTGTTTAAATCAGATTATCTCGAAATGAGCATCCTTTTCTGTTCAGATCTTCCTGTGTATCCCCAGACTGCACACTCTTTATATATGCTCTGATATTTAGTAAATCACGAAAAAGCACATAAGTCCCTGCTGAAAGGACCAGTCTTCTCTAAATCTGCATCAGCTGTGACTGGCAGCATTGGCTCCTGTGTCACTCACGCAGCTCTGACTCCTCAAGGGTGTCATGGAGGCAATAAACCAGGAGAGGGCCCTGCTTGCCAAACGTCTGCTTTATTCCCGAGTAGTGTAAAATCACACATCATCATTGCTGAGAGCATTACAGTTTCCACTGGCAAACAAATCCTTTATTTATGTCAAAGGCGAATTTTAAAAGTCAGAATAGTTTAACCATTAAATCCTTACATCTTCTGCTAGACCAGGCCAAATGGTATAAACCACAAAAGCTAAAAGAAGTGAATAACATAGATTTTCCTATAGAACTGATGATTGTAAGATGAATTATTTTTTTGACATCCTTGATTCTAAGAGTTCAGAAGAAAACTTGGAAAATTAACAGGAAAATAGTACCCTATCTGCTCATCACAGAACAGCAGCAGCTTTTCACTTTGAGAAGCTGTACCAGTCTCCTGCTAACAACTATCTAATTGAATTCATCTCCCTTAACCCAGTTCAGTCACTGTCTGTCCCTAGGGCTCATTCAGACTGTTTCATTAACACTGCCTCTGTATTGACCATCCTGCTGTCTGCACTCCTCTATTTCTTCTACATCTACAAATTTCCTCTGTCAGCCTAAATTGACTGAAGGTATGCAACATTTCCTGCACTGCAGTTTTAAGCATCCTTGGAAAACTCTTACCAAGTTTCCTCATTTGGAAGTGGCTGTCAAACACATTCTTTGGAGGGGAAAAAAATTTAAAAAAAAAGAAAAATGCTACTGAGAGCATGACTGATACCAACACTTACATTTTGAAAGAAAAAATTTATGGACAATATAGATTTATTGCAGCATTCCTGCACTTTCTTGTGTGGTTTCTTTCTTAACTTTTTTGGTACCATCTGTACATACAGCACAACCTTCTCAAAGTAGAGTTTAAAGCAAGTTCGCACAGGTAACCTGATGAATTTTTTTTTTTAATTTTTTTTTTAAAGCAAACCAAATAACTCCTCTTCCTCCCTCTCATCATTCAGTGAGAGGGCCAAAGTCTTCATGGGCAGGTGCGTGTGCTGGGACACCCCAGCTCTACCTGCAAGTTAGAGCAACTTTTCTAAGTTCTCTTGATATGAGATGCTGTAGGTCCAGCACTGAGATCTTTGACATCCCCATTACCTACTGTTATTCCTCCTGCAGCTACTTAGCAATCATTATTTGTAATGATTTCACTCTCCTTGGGCTGACTTGCCTCCTGACAGCCAACCACGTCCTGGGGGCCTTCAGGCAAAGCATCGCCAGCCGGTCAAGGGAGGGGATTGTTCTGCTCTGCTCTGCACTGGTGTGGCCTCACCTTGAGTACTTCATGCAGTTTTGGGCACCAAAATATTAAAAAGATATTAAGCTACTAGAGAGCATCCAAAGGAAGGCCACGAGGATGGTGAAGGGTCCAGAGGGGAAGCCATACGAGGAATGGCTGAGGTCACTTGGTCTGTTCAACCTGGAGAAGGGAGACCTCATTGCAGGCTATAACACCCTCAGGAGAGGAAGTAGAGGGGCAGGCACTGATCTCTTCACTCTTGAGACCTGTGACAGGACTTGAGGAAACAGCATGAAGTTGTGTCAGGGGAGGTTTAGGTTGGATATTAGAAAAAGGTCCTTCACCCAGAGGGTGTGGGGCACTGGAACAGACTCCACAGGAAAGTGGTCACCGCACCAAGCCTGACAGAATTCAAGAAGCGTTTGGATGATACTCTTGGGCATATGGTGTGACTCTTGGGGATGGTCCTGTGCAGGGCCAGGAGCTGGACTTGATCCTTGTGGTCCCTTCCAACTCAGCATATTCTGTAATTCTGTGACATTTTACCTTCCCAGTTGCAGAGCTTATCCCAAATCTTCGTTCGCGAAGCCTAGCCATGATGATGATGTAGAGCTTTTCCAGGTGCTGCTGAAGCTGATCTGTAGCAGAACAAGGTTTTGAAATCCCACAGGCAAATATAAGCAGATATCTCAGCTACCATACATGATAGCTCAACAGAGAAATATAAATTATATTTAGTTACTAAATTTTTTACTTGAGACTGCCCTAAATAAAAGGTCTTTACTTCCAGAAGTGGTAGTATATCTTTTCGTAGGGACAGAATCAGATCTAAGCTTCAGGGATAAATGAAACCCAAACTTTGAGCCAAATTCTACTTAAGTGTGACTTTTATTTTTAACCAGGAATATGCAGAAATTCAGCCAAGTGGGTAAGGCTCTAAAATGTAATTCATAGACTTTCTATTTTAGCTTTCTAACGTATATAAGACCTATTTTAGAGCAATTTCTAAGATGAAAGGAGGAGAGTACATTGTCCCACAGTCCCTGCTTTTAGGAGCTGTAACCTCCCTACATATGGACAGGGAGGGAGAAGAGAGATTTTTGCATTTTATTGGCTTTGTAAAAGGGATCCCCAGTTTCTGGCATGGTTGACCCTGGGACACAAAGAAAATCATTTCTTACTGTAAAAATAGTGGTTAATAAGTGCTCTGACAAAACTAAATCTGGCAAGCACAAGGCTCAACATGTGAGTAAGCCCCCCAAAAGAGTTTTGGATTAGCTTTAAAATAACTCAGATAATCCCAGATGCTGCTGGGAGTTTTTTGGCTGGTGCTCTTCTCTCAGCAGCTTAAAGCTTTCAAAAAAAAACCCTGCCAGAGCAGTAAATAAATGAGAAACAATTCATAAAAAGTCCCCAGGATGTGCCTGAGTATGTCCCCTCCCATAGCAGGGATGGGGAAGAGGGGCTGCAGGGGAGAGAAATGCTCAGCACCTGGAAAGCATCAATTCAGAGAAGGATTTCACAGATTTTGTTGTCTAGTTGCTGCCTGCTGGCCCAGGGGTGTCTTGGCCTGGCACACAGGCATGAGTGTGGAGAGCAGGGCAGAGAGGCTGGGGACAGATTTTTCCATGGAAGGCAAATAGCTAGCAATTCTTCCGAATTACATTAATGACATAATTGGCAATTTCAGCTACTTCTTACTTCATTCAGGGCAACTCCCTAGTGCATCATGTTTTCTCAAAGGATAGCTTCTACAAGTCTTAACTACATTGCAAATTAATAGGTAAGATATATTTCTGCTGACCAGAGAGGCTGCATTTTCCAATTAATTAATGCATAATGAGATTCACATATAAAATCTGGGTTTGAAAATCAGTATTTTCATTGCAATGTCCCTCAGAGAACTACAACTGTGATGGCATCAGACCGCACACCACATAGTTGTGCAGATCATAAGTTACTTAAGACACAGGCTGCCAAAATACACAAATCTCTGTAATAAGCAGAAAGTATAGTGATGAGGGTGGTGCCGGAGGCAGCACTGAGCTCTGCCTGAAGGGAATAACTGTTTCAAGTAGAAATTTTAATTTTTCTTATGGATGAACTGTAAATATAGTCGACCAAAAGTCACAGTACTCACTGGATATTCTAGAGCACACAGGTGAACTTGTGTGAGTGAAAACCATCCTTTGAGCAGAGTTGTTGAGAATTTAGCAGTCGTACATCAGGCTTTTTTGAGATTTTTTGACACTCTCAGTGTCGCGTTGGATTTTTTTACAGTTCATAAGCTTGTTGAAACTTTCCTTTTTTCTTTGAAGAGAAAATCACCCAACAAAAGTTCCCTTAAGTAAGTTAAAGTCCACATCAGTAATTTAGGTTATCGTGGAGAAAGGATGTTGTCATGGTCCTCAAGTCAAGCGTTACAGCAGTTGTTGTGTCAGTAAGATATGCTTAAATGATGCAGCTGTAGTACAGGGCCCCAAGGACCACGGTGTTATCCTGCAGTGCCACCAGGAGGAAAACAACAAAATGCCTCTATAAAACAAACAGCAAGACATCAAGAGCTTTTTACAAGCCATATTGCAGTAACAACTTCCAAAACCCTGCTCAGCAGCAGTAGCAGGTTGAGGACTTTTTAAATCATCTCTTAATTCATCTCACAAATTACATTTTCTACCGGCCACTGTAGATACTTCATGCTCCTCGGTCTTCTTGACAAATTCATAAGTTGTCTTACAACTGGTTTAACCTGGACATTGTGTAAACAGGATGTGCTGCAAACCAGATTCTGAGTATTGTAGGCCTAAGATATTTACATAAAGGCAGGAAAACAACTATAAAAAGGGCCTGCATGCACTATACCATACTATTAAAGCCAAAGAGCAACATAGCCCATAGTCACCCCTGCAGAACCCCACTTTGTGTATAACCATTGCAATACTGCTGAATCTAGCAAATCAAGAAAAAATTCTAAAAATAAATAAATAAATAAACAAATAAATAAACAAATAAATAAATAAATAGCTAGCTAAGGGCTCCAGAGTTCATGAGCTGGTGTGCAGGAGGTCTGAGACAGGAATAAAGATTTCAGTCTCTGCTTTTGGATTGTGCCTCTACAGCATGATCCCTCCTGGATACACCCTGGGACACAAGCTGAACCTACCACTCCAATTAGCTCAAACGAGCAGTGCCCCAACACACCTGTGATTCTATGATTCTCTGTAAAGCTTTGTTCTCTGTTACAGCCCTGAGAACAAGGCTTCATTCTGGGAACATCATTTCACTCAACTCTTTTGTTTGTTTGTTGGTTTGTTTTTAATTGGTATACTTTGCACAGGGAAATATTTTTATTTCAATGTATCTTAGACTGTTTTCCATAGCATCCTGTTGCGTAATGGGAGCCCACTCCAGCAGTGCCTATTCATCACACAGCTGCAATGGGAGAGGGCAGCATTAATATCAGATCTAGAAGTTGTGATATAAAACTCATTCCAAAAGTCACATCCGGATTATTCTTACTCTCAGGTGTATGTTGACTTTTCACACTTATGACATGTTAGTAGCACATCTTGGTCTCCAACTTCTCGGTCTCTCAGCTTCCTCATGAAGGGAAGTGGAAGGGCAGGCACTGATCTCTTCTCTGTGGTGACCAGTGACAGGACTTGAGGGAATGGCCTGAAATTGTGTCAGGGGAGGTTTAGGTTCTCCACCCAGAGGGTGGTTGGGCACTGGAACAGGTTCCTCAGGGAAGTGGTCACAGCACCAAGCCTAACAGAGTTGAAGAAGCATTTGGACAATACTCTCAGGTATATGGCGTGATTCTTGAGGCTGTCCTGTGCAGGACCAGGAGTAGGACTTTGATTTTCCTTGTGGATCCCTGCCAACTCAGGACATTCTATGATTCCATGCTCTCCATATCTTTCCAGGTGCTGTATTTGCCAGCTGGTTATCATAGGGTGGCAAGCATTTGTTTGGACATTTCTTCCTGTGGGTCTTGGTGGTTTTGGGATACTGGCTATGTTTCTTCAACAGTGTTTGCTTTAACCAGCTTGCTTCCTGCACTAATAGGAAACAGATGTATTCATGAAACAGCAGTGAAATGCTAAATATGAGCACAATGCTGCTGAACATCAAGGGAAAGTGTTTCTTGCCTTGTTGCATTTGTTTCCTCTATGCATTTGCTTTTTAAGAGTTACAACAAGTAATTCATAAGCACTGGGTTCAAGTTAGGCACAGGTTCTGCAGGCAGCACAGGCCCCACTTTATTACTTCCAAGAAGGAAAAAACATTTTTGATCCTGTTCTCACATTGCCTATGATTGGTTTTTATGGCACTTTTAACAGCAGCTACGTCAAGGCTGTGAGAGATTAGGGGCTTTTGTAACGTAAAAGGGAACTGTGCCAATACCAGGGTTAACCTTCTAGCTCTGCACACCAAGGAAACGTGATCTCATCGTTCAGCAATAGGAACGGTGATTGCACAGGAACAGAGAAGGGGACCCTTACCACCATAAACTCCAGTATGCATTAACCAGGATACAACACTGGAAGGAGGGCAAACTCATCGTATAGTTAGTCACACAATCTAGCTGAACAGTTCCTTTCCCACATGAAGGAAATGGCACTGAGGCAAAAGATAGTTTAATCTTCCATAAAATGGGACAGAAAAGAGATATTTTGTGTAGTACTACTCAGAATAATAAGCAGAACTTTCACAATACCACAGTTCCTCTGGAAGGAAAGGGAGAAATGAAGAGGCATGAAGGGCGAGAGGGGCACCACCCAGCCCTGCTGATGGTCAGGCAAGGGTGCTCTGGGCTGCAGAAGGGAGCAGCATGGACCAACAGGACACAGAGGAGCTGAAGGTAAAACATGCAGGTGCAAAACATCTCCCTGCACAGCTGACAAGACATTTTTAGGATTGTAGGATAATTCAGGTAGGAAAAGATCACAGGAGTCATCTAGTCCGTCCAGGATTCCCACTCTCTACTACTGACTAATTATTAGCATGGGACATTCCCATTCTTCATAACAGCATTTTCTTACCTTATGCTCATCTTAGAGACGATGCAATTATTTATTAAAAAGTCAAAGGACAAGTGGTCCAGCTGAACGTATGTAATTAACTTTGTCTAACTGCAAAAGCCAGAGGACCAGCTAATATTTTTGGTTCATTTATATGCTGCAATAGCTTTATCAGTCTCTCCTGGGCCCAGACATGTAGCCCACAAATATGTTTGGCTAATAGGACACAGCAGCAAATATGTCCTTTTTCCAACCTTGCTTTCTTTTTCTTTTTTTTCATGCTGTTAAACATTTGTAATAGTTTCCTCATTTTACAGTTATGTCAGGAATAAAATTCCTAGATGCCACATGTAAGAATAACTCATGCTCCCTCCACTTCTTTGAGGCTCACAGAGACCAAGCATTCAGGGTGGCAGCTTGCCACCAGTATATATGGATATTTTTAAAAGCCCTGCTTTTTTTTATACCCATAAAATCTACAACTCTGACTCACCAAAAAACCACAAACATGCAGCAATATTGGAACTCTTTGCTGCAGGACTGATCAGTGTGGCAAAGATTAGATCAAACCAGAGAGCCACTACACATCTGCAAGGTACTGGTTCTCAGCTGGTATTGCTAAAAGTTCCTTGATCAAGAAGTGCTGGCCAATGCATGGACTGGCACAACTGGGAATTTTCTGCAATTACAATAAGTTTGTATGAAATAATAAAGGGTCTTGAATCTAACTCTCCTGGAGAAAGTATTAGGAGTTGTACAGTTACTAATGAGATCCAAATGTACTTTTGTATGGTTTTAAAGCAAGAAGATACAGCTGATGTGTGAGACTTCTCCCACTGGAAACAGTGTGAATTTGTGAACACTCAGATCTACATTTGATAAGACAACTTCTGTGTTTGATAAGACAACTTCTGCATTTAAAAATCATGAGGCTTAGCTAAAATGAAACATGGCCAATGACTTTTGGAAATATTTACTTGAATCAGTCTGAACGTAATTTATGAAATTCAGCTTTGGAGGCTGACAAAGATAAAGCTCATAAAGCCCAAGCTTGTTGACAGGGAAATAGTTTAAAAGCAGGATGCTGTTGATTAGACTGACAAATGATGTTCTAATCTTGGTAAACAGACACCGCCTATTCTCTGCTAAAAAACATGGTAGCATTGACAAGTAGGAACAAAAGCTTCCTTGTTCCCATGGAAGGACTGCCAGCTTCTGAACAGGAGAGTTTGCTTTTCTAAACCGTGTCTGAAAATTTGGTTTAGATTTGATTACCCTACCTGTCCTTGAAACACTAACCATATTTCACTAGGATTTCAACAGAACCTACAGTGGAATATGTAAAGCCTGCTGTTTCCAATGGTAAGTGTTCAAATGCTGGTGAAGCACTCTTCTGTGCTGGGAAAAATTTCAGATCCTCAGGTGTGATTTTCATATGATTTATGATTAATCCCTGCAGACTGCTCACCTGGACTACAAATCTAGGATGAATATGGCCTCCAGTTTACAGCCACATCCTCCACTTGAGAGAGAACAGTCAGAGAACAGACATTTAACAGTACTACCATATTTAGTGTAACTTGATTAATAAAACATTCATCTATTTGTTTTGATTTCTACCAAGTACTCAGGATTTGGCCATAAGTTAACATTTGTCTTAAATGTCAGACTCTCCATCTCCAGGGGCAGGGACCAGCATGACAGTACTTAAGAGCACAACATTTGGGTGATTCCCAGTTAAGAATTCATGTGGGACAGTGGGAAAAAAAAAAAAAATTAGTAGTCTGAGGTTTTAAAGCTGTAGGGTACTCATGCACATTAATATCTAAGTCTTTCTGATCAGTTCTTAGACAGAGGAAGAAGAGTGAAAACCTTGACTACCTGAGACCATGCAGGATCCAGCAGCTGTTGGGGAACACTGAAAACTCAGGATGGAACTAGGAAACAGCAGCACCAGGAGGCTGATCTGGTTCTTCATGTGATTGAAGCTATTGACTAAGCTCCTTTCCTTGCAGTCAGTTAGGATCTTATCCTAAGAGCAGAAAAGAATCAGAAGGCAAGGCATTGCTGGAAGCCAGGTTAGAAATTCAAAGCAGCAAAGCAGCCTTTTTGGCTCTAAGATGCCAAAGTGATGGCTACACACACACACACACACACACACACACACACATACAAACCAGTTTGGTTTTGTACAACTCCAGAATAGTACTGCAAACTTGCATACCTACTCAAGTAAAGTTTTAGAGTTTAAATTAGAGGAAATAACTTCTTATTTAAAAACTTATCAACTTCTTATTTAAAAACCATTACTGTGAAACCCCCATCTCGAAATGATAAAACCTGGTTCCAGCTCTTGCTTTGGAAGTGACCAGCTTTAGGCTGATTTTAAAACCTGCTGTAAGTCCATAAGTTTACTGAAGGCATTGTACCATCTCAGGTACAGACCTGCAGAGCTGCCACCACTCCGGACTGTGAACATGACAGTGCTCCAGCTGGTACCACATACTCCTCAAAAGGCACTTGGCAGAGCAGGTGGTGGAACTACTGACAGGAAAAGGAAAGGAAAAAAGAGGAAGGGAAGAAAACACCTCCAAAGAAGGTTACACCTTAGATATGGCAAAAGAATTGACACTTTCTCACCCCCAGCGCTGTGTAACACATGAGAAGCTCCGGGTAGAACTGGGACACTGAGGCGTGACGTTTTGGTCAGTACAGTGCAGAGTCTGGCACTTGAGGCTTCAGCCTCCCTAATAAACAGAAAAGCATTTTTGGGGGAGGAAGGAAAGAAGGGACTGTACTTCTGTCTTGTACTTTCACCACGAAGGTGGAGTGTTATACACAACAGAATTGGGCTGAGGGAGTCTCAAGAGTTAAAAGGAGAGCCTGTGGATCACAGCTCAAAACCACATCAGATCCAAATTCCAGTGTTAACAAAAGCATACATAAAAGTAGCCTTCCTGCCATGTTTTTTTACTAACCAGTGATGAGAGCATCTTTACAGTTTGTTTTTATTGGTGTTTTAAGCAGTCTTGCAGGAATATATATTAGAAAGCTGAAAAAATGAAGAGCTCAGGTTACATTTCTGAATGACATATTTTCCTTTATAAATGCCAAATATCATCGTAACCTAAAAGTGAGATCCCACGATCCATCTGTTTTGCCAAGTCTATGTTAAATTTCTTTATGTGTGGAACAATGAGTGTTCACTGCAGGGCTCTGATTTTCTCACTTACTCCTCATATAGTTGTCAGAATAAGCCCCTCATCACCAAATTTCTGGAACTCACGGGAGGGCCTCATGAAGGTGAAACTGTCAGAAGGGAAGAAAGGCTGCTAAACATTCTGCAGCGAGAGCCAGGATGAACAATACACAGGCTTATCTTCCTTGCAGCTTAGAACAAACTTAGCAGTTCCGGGGTGTAAGATGTTTACTTAAATCACCTTTTAGTTGGCACTAGTGCACAGGGAAGAACTCTAGGAAAATTCTCTTGAGCCAGTTAGCTTTCTGTAAGTGAGCTGGCTACAGGAGCTCACTTTTAAAGATATATGACTGTGTCTACAGCTTCTGGTAATCAAATAGGTGGTGTCTGTTACATATGAATATAAAAACAAAAAAAGCAAGCAAAGCAAACCCACACTTGCAAAACACTCTTTGTCCCGAGTAGCAGCTATAGCTTTTGCTCTGCCCTGCAATGCACTGGGTGTAGTTTGATCCTGAGAGTTTGAAAGTTACAGCAGCACCACATAAAAACATAACCTGTGCCTGAAACTAAAGAGGAGCTTTTATCATCTATTCAACTGGCTCTTGTTCCTTAGCTGAAATATCCCAGCTTTTGAGCACAGTTTAATTGGTTGTCACCCACTTCCTGTACTTTGAAATGAAACAGCTAATTAATTCAGGTTAATAGTATTAACAGGGTCTATTGCAGTGCTTAAGGTAACAACACACAGCTGTACTGTGCTTGTGCCTACACCTTATCCAATAACCAGCATTCTGGATGTCAAGACACCTCCCATCTGCCAAAGTGTAATATTCTTTACTGCTGAATACTATTCTGCATGAACATCTAGGTTAGAAAGCACAACATTTAAATCTTAATAGGGTTTTTTTCAGAAATAAGAGGCTCACTGAAAAAATAAATCATTTTAAAAAAGAAAAAGGTGGTTAATTTTGAACAGTTTTGCTTTTATCTTTGAGGTATCAGCTGTAGTCAGTTCACTCAGGACTCTGGAGTGAGTGTCTGGAGACACTGAAAAATCAGGACAATGCAGAAACAACTGCCTGCTTATGCGAATCTGGGACTAGCACTTAAAAAATACTTATTTAACACTTAAAAAAATTACTATCTTTGTTTTGAAGGTAGCTTGCTATTTGTTAATAGCATAAATATAGAATCACAGAATCATAGCAAGTGTGAGAATCTTTTTTAATTTCCTGTACCCACCCAAAAAAAAAAAGTAAGAATGTTTTTATTAGGCTAAACTGTGCTGCTATACCACACAGCTAGCATGCAGGAGGGGAAATGAAGACAGACATGAACTGTGTATGAGATAACTTATTTTATTTATTCAATTCTCAACTTAATTTTGATGCTAAAAATTGGTCAAAGGCACTTCAAAGAAGATATTTAAGAAACAAATCCTTATGGTGATCATTCCAGACAAGTCACCAACTTTTATCTACCGTTAGGAACACAGCTACCCATAACTGCAAAGTGAAACATTCACAGGTTTTAAGTGGAGTATACTGTCCAGCAGCAAGATTCAATTCTTTTAAACTATTAATAACATTTGTGGAGTATTTTAAATACAGTATGGTAGAACAAAGCAAATTACACTTTTAGAGTTCCACAGAAAATTTCTTGACAGAAAAAGGACAAAACTGCCTTTCCCAGTGGTCCTGTATTGAGGAATCCATTTTCATCTGTGCGTGCATTATCAGTATCAGTAGCAGGTACAGCAGAGAAATAACCCACACTTTTCTGTCGTACAAAGGCAAAACACTCTGCTCAGATAACAAACTGTTCGTAAGAGCTACTCTATCAGCTACTCACTGAAATTTATAATTCTGGAAGCAAAACAGAACAAAGGGCAACATGTGAAGAAAAAGTAATTTTTAATATACACCCCCACCAAAGCAAAACAAAGTGTCCTTAAAGGCAAAAGGTACTGGGAAAAGAGCTTCCACAAAATGAGAACAGGTATTAACATCATCAGTGTGTAAACTCTTAAACAAGACCAATACAGACTGCAAAAAATGAATTGGGAGTGAAAGAAGATTAAAATTGGTCTTGTTCTGCAAACCAAGATTAATCTCCTCTGATTAAGAACAGTGATCAGGAGGTAACTTCTTGGCATTCTCAATCTTTGTGAACTGAAAAGCACTTAATACAAGGTTAAAATGTTACTCTGTCACACTAAGAGACATTTCCACGTCCACTGCCTAGTAATTTCAAGAAAACAGTTCCAAATTTTTAAATGGATCATTTAAATCACTACAGTGCCAACAGAAGCTTTTAGTTTTTATAAAATGAAGAAATCTCTCTTAGAAACAAAACCAAACCAAACCAGAGAGCAATAACCTGCATGGCCTAAGTGAGTCCATGTTCCTGTGCTTCAGAAAGTCTCTCCACCTGAAATACAGCCTTCCTTGGGCCGCAAAAATGCTCAAACTCAATAAATACTTTCTCAAAGCATAAAGATCTGAGAGTGAAATAACAAAGTACTAGTAGTAGCATAGTATTGTACATGAAAATTATACTAACTGTTCACATTCCAATCTTGTCTACTGAGGCTTCTGAAGGCAGTGAGATAGAAACCAATTATTCCAGAGGTATCAGCTCATGGTTATGGCAATACAGTTCAACAGCGAACAACAGGCCTCTGTTATAATCACAGAATGTAAAACCCGATACTTTTCTACCTTGTCTGGAAGGAAACAAAATTCTTTGTAGTGCTGTTAAAAAGGCAAAAGAAATAGATTCAGAGACCTATGTACAAGGACACTTTAAAACAAAGCAAGAATGGACATTTCAAGAAAAGGCTACTCGTTTCTCCAGACAGGACACCCACTCACCATAAGGTAGTATGTCCTTAGCCTTATTCCCTTCAGAAATGGAACCTGTCTCTTTATTTTTCCAGTCTCTCTGAGGTCCTGCATGTTTTGTGGAAAGGGATATTCCTGCCCTGCTCTGCTAAATTTACAAGCCCCAGCTGGGCCGCAGATAAGAATTAGAACTGCTGCTGAGAAAAGGCTTCACCATGAGCTCAACAGTGGCTGGTTTACCTTGTCACCTCAGCAAACAACCTGCGTGAAGCTCAAACATCCCACTACCTGCTTCCTCCTGTCCACTTGAGACTTATGTAGGATGAAACTGCAAAGCCAGAGTCGGGATAGTCAGGATAGTAAGGAATATGAAGAGAAAATGATGTTGTTTCATAAGGCAGCATAGGGCAAACATATGACAAAAATCTGCAGAAAATATGCAGGATTAGTTCTGCCTGTTGCGGTAGAAAATATTTTAATCCCCACAGATGAACTGAGAAAGAAATCAGGAATAAAGGAACTGTACAGTAGTTCAGTAGCTCTTCTACATGGGCTGAATTTACAAAGAGATTAGGTTGGGATCTTGATTTCATTTTATACCTTCCTTAAGTATTCTTAATATTTTAACTGCATGTTTGAACAGTGCCACTGGAGTTACCAATTCCATATGGATTTCACAATATGATTGGTTTGTGCTGCACATGGGATAAACATTTAGCTCACAAAAGGAAGCCCCTCTCAGCATGGTAACATCCACTGTCCTGTGGACAAACATCCCTCTGACTAGAGCAAACTGAAAACTTCTTCCTTTTTTAAACCAATGCAGTTATAATTTTCTGCTAAAGTCTATGAACATAAAATAAAGCTCATGTCCCTATCAGTACTTCAGAGGCAGTCCTGCTTATGAAAGACCAATAGATTTAACCCTGCAAGAACTACATGTTTAATTAATACTATATGAATTCAGCCTACATTCAGGCAGAGATGATGTATGCAGCATTTCAACACCATGAGCTGTTTCAGTAATTACCATTGTTGCAGAGCAATGGTCAGAAAGGAAGTCATGACTTTACTGTTGGACAACATATAGAACCTCAATCTGTACTAGAACTACCTTTGAAAAAAAAAATTCCAGTACTTTATGGTAACACCTTCTTCCAGGAACATCCTGAAGGACAGCAGTAGTAATTAAGGCTGTCTGCTACCAGTATGTGCCCTTTCCAAAACAATGACTGGAGGTATTTAGGTTATGTCCAAATTCATCAATATGATGAAGGTGAAAAGTAATAAAAACATGAAGAAACTTTTGTTCAAGTGTGGAATAAAGAAACATTACATGTCATGCTTAATCCCATCCCCCCCTACTGCTATTCACTCAATTTGAAAAGGAGAAAACCAGAAAGTTTTATGTTAACTCTATAAAACATAGGTTTGGCCTCTGAAAAAAATTCAGTAATTAAAACACCTATTTTGTCCCACACCAAGAAAGTGTTTCCAGTTAAGAGGCAGAGATACTTATGAAGTAGTGGAGAAAGTTAATGCACTTTGAAAGATTCCTACATTCAGGCTGGCTTACCTGAATTACTATATGCTTCAGCTTCAGAAAGAACAAAATAAGGATCATTTACCACTTTGTACTGAAAAAGGGTACAAGAAGCAGATACAGAAGAAATTTTTTAAGTGGAGAAAAAAATATCCAGAAAAGTGCAATTAAGTACTTCAGCCAAATAAACTGGCTTTCCTGCAGTTTTAGAACAGGACTTGTTCGTATATGAAAACTTTAATCTCTAAGTACAGCGATGTGAAAATTAAACAGAAACAAACTAATTATAATAGTGGCTGAAACCAGGTTGTTACAATGGCACTGTAACTTTGCTAAGATACTATTCTTTCCGGTTTACCTAGAAGGTGGGATGGAAGACAGACTTCTATTTCAAAAAGCATCTACCTTATGTTAAGAAATACTCAGATTAATTTTTATCTCCATTCAACCAACAGGATGAGTTAATAAGAGAAAAAAAAAAAAGCCACAGGCAAATATGTAAGCAGCTTGCATCACCTCAGCAACTTAAACAACAGTAACCATTTCTAGGTTTCTCCTTAAAACAGTAGTGATCCAACTTCATATTGTTTTGTACAACAGAGACTTAAAATTTTTAAAACTAACTCATAGCAGTGAATACCATTTCTGAAACAACGCAGATTAATCTTGTGTCTGAATTTCTGCCTATTCATAATAACCAGTCTGTTGTTAAGGCAAAGCAGACTTGAGACTCTTACTATTGTGCCTCTCCCTTCCTTTTAGGGCAAGATACACAAAGTATCTTCAAGATGCTGGTAATACTAGAGAAAGCCATCATGAAGTGTTTGACTGGGCAGCATCCAATTTCGAGTATTAAAACTGACTGAACAGAGAGGAAACAGCGGAGAACAGAAAAAGGAACAGATATACTGTATGATTATCTGTGAACCCACCCACTATGTTTTTTATACAAATTCTTCCAGGTATTAATGTTACAGAACAATCTCCTATTTCACAGCTTTTGGGCCCCAAATCTTTGTAAGCGGGGCTCCAAGGTAACACTCTCCCAAACAGTCAGAGCCAGCACCAGACTCTATTGAACACAGTGTGACAGGAACTTCTGCCAACTTGATTTTTGAAATAAGAATTGCCAGGAGTAATTTCAGTCCACAAGCTTCATGCACGAGTTTGAGGAGACTCTTACTCATTGTACTGGCTTCTTTTTGGTTTCTTCAAAGTCTAATTATCTCTCAGAAATTTTTTGCTTTAGCTTTTGATTATCCTCCAGTACTTCATTTTTGCTCTGCTCTTCTGGATTCTTTGACAAATCAGGATTGTACCGATACAAATACCCATACGGACGAAGATGATAAATCAAATATTCCAAATGATACATAGTCATAGAATCAACATAATGGAATGAAACTGCTAGATCGGAGCAGCATCCAGGACCCTGAAACACAAAACAAGGCAAAATAATCACCAAGAAATGCAAAGCATGCCCTGGACCATGGATTCAGGGAGAATTCAAAGAAATACTTGATTTAATGGTAGGAAATTCACTATCATCAGTTACATATATACTTCAAAACTTAATGTTAAGCAAGCAAAATGTACCAGACATATCTGCCACAGCATCTTTTCAAAATAAAGCTGACAAAGTCTTTTGCTTCCGTGATCAAGCCAGTGAAAAAACTAGCTGCCCTCATCAATGTCAGAGGCTTTGATATGAGACAAATATGACAGGACAAATCAAACTGGTGACTTCCATTATGGATCAGTTACAGATGGAACTGTCCACAGCTCAGCTACCTGTACACTGCAGCCATAGCTAAAGCTGCTGCATCCTGGCACACTAGAGTACATCATAGCTGGTTTAAGCTACAGAAATGCTCTAGCTCCTGAATACAAGTATAAAAATAGATGCTGCTTTCCAATGAAAAGAATCCACTAAAAAAACTAGACTCTCTTTTTCAGCTTTAATATGTAAAAAATCCCAAATCCTGTCCTTGAATTTTTCCACCTATGCTGATCTCGAAGCTCTCTGAAAAAAATAACTGCTCCCCCACCCATGCTTTTTTTTTTGACCCTGGAAATTTCAGATGTGGAACATAAAGGAGAATCCTGATGTTCTTCCTGTAAGAATGTTTCCATTTGTAAATGCTATTTTTGATGCTACAACAAAAGAATTAAAAAAAGTTTTGCCAACTCTTGTGGTTGCCTTCATTTCTACAGAAGGGAGTCAAGTCCAATACAACTATACAAGGAAATCTGATCCTATTTCCTTGTTGGAGTCATGTTTTTATTTCTGTACCAGGCAATGTTTATTCTTCTGCATTTTTTTAAATGCAATTCACTTACATGTACATTTTAACAACTTTCAATAAAACAGTGAGGGCAGGGCAGGTAGTGCAGTGCAGAGTTCAAGTTGGGTTGAGAAGCTAGGAACACTTTGTGTGAGATATGGGGGAACAGAACAGTAACTTTGCAAGGACAATACTAGTGGTAACACTTGACAAACGTGTCAAAAAGGTTTCACAATTTTTTGCTGTCCATAAAACACAGCAAAACAGCAAAAGTAGTTTAAGATTCACTACCTCTTCTGGAACATTAACTTTTTAGCATCAACTTCAGTTGATTAGTGTATTTAACACATCTACACACGTAGATGTCAGAGGATGTCACAAAAAAATCTTTATTTCTAAAATATATTGAGCTGCTATTAAACTGCTAATTAACACATCACACGCTCATACACATCCTAAGATACACTTCACAGAATGAGTACCAGGTTCCTAAGGACTTACCTCTACAGCAGGATAGTAATTGTAATTCCAGTACCAGAATGTTTTTGGTAGATATCCTCTGATTAAGTGATGTTCTGGAACAAAGGGATGAAAGGTTTCTCTACCACTTGTATCCCTAGAATCTCCTGCTTCCACATTAATGATCTCCATGCATTTTCCTAGTGCTAGATCTTCAATAGAGGAACTATGAGAGCATTTATTCGTTTTAAATGCAGCAACAAATCTCTTCAGAGCTTCTTTGCTCAGAACATACCCTGCTCCTCCACTCATGTAGCCCTGCTTCACATAAGGCTTAAATCTTCGTCCAAAGTATATTGGTTGTTCTGGACTGTATTTTGAAAGAAGCCATCTCAAATTGTCCAGTATAACATATGTATCATCATCTGCTTTCATAAACCAATCAGCATCATCAAAATAATGGTCATATACATATTGAAAAGCTTTAATAGTCTTCCAGTACAGTTGGTCTCTGCCTTCTTTGGTTTCTAGGCCCACAGTTGGGAAGTCTTTATTTTCTTCAGAGCTCATAAAAAGTACTTTATTACAGCGTTGAGCCCAAGTGGCCTTAACATGCTTGGCTTTCTTTTCTAGATTTTGAGGTCCAGTCATGACCCAACACAGTATTTTCACCTTCTGATACAGCCCCTCTGCAATATTTTTATCCTCATCTAAAAAAAAAGAGGAAAGTTGCAAACCAGTATTAGACTTTATTGCAAAACAAACTAGGAGCAATCTCCCCCCAGATATTCTGTTTCCAGATCAGAAAAAACATGTAGACAGAAAAGAGGCTTTTGATTCCCAAATGTACCAGTTAACAAACTCACTGTTAGATTTCAGAAGGAAACAAGCAAGACTAAAAGCCAAGACACTAAAATTCTTAAAGTTACTTCAACTTCACAGGATAAAGGACACCATAAGAGTCATATCAAAATGAGTATCTGTTCAGGGAAGCGTGGCTTTAGCAAACCTTGATTTCTATATAAAAGCTGTTCAGAAGCAATCTCTTTATGGTGTTTGGAGGCCTAATCAAAATTTAAAATATTTTTGCTATTCACAGTGAACACTACTTAAAGATTACAACATAGAAAGGCCAAAAAGCTAATAAGCTTTTTTACATATATTCACGTTTAACTAACTAAGCCTAATGAATATTTCTAAAATAGCAACATATTTTTCAAGAACAACGCAGATGGTAAGCCAGAAATAATTTATTACCAAACCAAATTAAATCTTATTTGTAAAAAAAAAAACCAGATTAAATAAGTTAGGATACTATGAAACTAGTATTATTGTTGTGCTAAAATGTTTTTATTTGCAGACAGTCCAGCAGAATAAACACAGTTACCTGAGGTGTGTAATATAACATTTTTCAAGCTGCCAAAGCATTCATTTCCGTCAAAGAAACATTTTCACTAGATACATACAGAAAGATTTTAACTCATGTAAAAGAATATTCCATGGAGAGTAAGATCTGCATAACTGGTATCATAAAATATTCCTGCTTACACTTTATGCAACTACAGATCAGATTTCTTCGTAACAATGTGCTACTCACATTTGTAGCAATGTGAAACTCACAAACTCCTCTTACAAAGTTCAGAGTTTAAATATGTTTAAATAACCAACTATTTACTAACATCTTCAGCATATGCATTACAGTGCAATTTTTCTCATCCAAGCTGTCCCTACTCAAAAACTATCTGTATTTAGGATTTAGAATGAACTTATTTAATGAGAAATGTCAAATGTAAAAGTAGTCCTGAAGTATCTGAAGGGTCTACCTTCTCTGGAAAAATAAAAATAACCAGAGTGCGAGAGAATTTCTCTGGTTTTGACTGCAAACAGCAAAGTGTGCTTGGACTGCTGCAAAATCAGCTTGGCAAGCCATGTCCACAGTGACTCCCTCCGTCCTCCCTCCCAGCCCCAATTCCATGTTTTACTAATCACATCAAAAAGTGAGTTTCTTTTTTTATAGCTTTATCTTAGAGGCTAGATCAAAAGTTAGAAGTGGTGCAAAATTAGTTCCTTATGGCTAAAAAGCAATTCAGCCAGATCTATAATGCCAGCAAATATATCTGCTCGGTAAAACTGTCATTTGACATCAGTATTTCATTTCAGAAGTCACTGCTACACACAAGTCTGGATACAGAAGTTGGACAATCAGTTGGACTCGCAGGAAAAAAAAATCACTCCTGTAATAAAAATGTGAACAAAGAAAACGAGGTTCAGTAGAACCTCAAGAAAACAAAGTTATTTAGATACAACCTGAACATGGGGAAAGGAAAAGAAAATTATTCATATAAATCCTTGGCAGTGAAGAAAGCAGCATTTTGCAATGCATGAAAAGGGAGGACTTTATCTCATTAGGTAGGTGTAACAAAATACCTTTATGCTGTCCAGCATCCGCATTGAAATTCATTTGTCCTTGCAACTGATTGTTATCAATATCTGCTGAGTGTTGACCATGTGGATCGTTGTGAAGAACATGAGGCTGGATCTTAACTTGTTCTTCTAGTATAATGCTAAACAGAAGATAGCAGATGAAAAATCCTATTGCTGATCCAAAAGTGAAGGTTAGAAGGTTCATCAAAGACTTAGAAGAGGCCATCTCCTGAAGGTAAGACACTGTAAAAACCAAATGAAAAATACACTAAGCTTAAAGCTTAACACAGAAATCAAATCCAAAAAATCAAGGACTAAATCTCTGAAAGCAGCAAACTCAGTTCTAGCTCAGATTCAGCTCCCGTAAGCTCGCACAGAAGTTTAAGCACATCCATTGTACATCCATTGATAAGTTTAGTGCAAAAGGCCTATCATATATTCTTTATCTTAAAATTAGAAAGGAGAGTAATAAATCACAGTAGTGGCTGTACATTAAAAAAACTACACATTACATTTATACGACATTGATATAAGAATGTATACACTGAAGTAGCTTTATAAAACTGTAATATATGTTGACTTTTTTATTCTCTTCATCCCACGAAACTGTGCTTTAAAATGTAATACCCAAATCTTCTATGAGCTAAAAGATGATGATCTATAGCAATTTACAGGTCAAGATACAGCATGATCATGAGGTGTTCTTAAAATTCCAGGAGTAAGTATATTACAGGAATCCTTTAGCAGATGTCAATCACAAGTAGGTTTTGAAGATTATAAAAGCAAATCTACTCCCAAATTAGGGCAGTTTTCCTTAAACTTTTAGGAAGTAGTGAGGATAGACTTTCAGAAGAAAGAGTAAGATGACATCTGAATTTTCATACAGAAACACCCATTTTTAAAATGAAGAGAAGAAAGTGCATCAGCCTTAAGGCCTCTTTTACACTTCAAAAACTTGTATTCCAGTAATAAAAAAACCCCTGCATTTCAGCCACACCCTTGCTCCTCAGAAACTAAAGGATTTGGGTGACCATTTTTTATTAAACCAAATCAGCATGTACGTCTGCATAAAGGGAGCTTTATACATCCAAAATAAGTATGAATTTTAATATATTAAACGCTTGAAAACCAATTTCTAAGGCCTGAGGTTTTTTCATCTTTGCAAAGAGTGGAGATATTTTCTAATAACTCATGACTAAACTACAAAAACATTGACTGCTAAATATATACTGGATTCAAGCCAGAGCCTTGCAAACAAGTCAATGATGTTCCCTCCCTTAGGATCATTATTAATGACAGCAGGCAGAACCCAAATAAGTGCATTAGGGAGCCAAAAAAAGAAAATTATGGAACGTACAGAGCATCAATGAAAACCATCGATCAGAGCAGAGCTACAGCCACCAAAACAACTCGTTTAGCCTGCTCCCCCCTTCACTCATTGGCTGTACGGTCTATCGGAAACAGGCTGTCCCCAAGCAAGCAAGAATGAATCACTGTGCAGTAACATGCATGCCAAAGTCCAGCTGTCTGTCTGTCCTTTCACCCTCCTGAAGGAAAAGTAGAGAGGACGGAATGCAAGTGTGCACGTTGCTAGGTTGGCACTTTCAGAAATCCATCAGATTTACTGCATACATGCAGATTAAGATCATTTGAGAGTGAAGCGGCTCTAACGTGATAATGCTTTTCTTTCTGCACTGCTAGAAAAAAGAAATAAAACTGAAAACACAGCTTGACACACAAAATAAAAATCAAGAAATGTAAAGGCTGTATAAAATTCACATGATTATAACTGTGGTTGATAAGGAGCTCTGAAAACACATCATACAATTTGTTAATCGCATATTGTCTTCCGTCACTTTAGTGCTACATCTTGGTGGAGATGAATGATTGCCTTTAGACAGCACATCTCAAAGTATAAAATGGACTGTATAATCATTTGTGACCCAGGCCTTGAAAAAATTACTTGGTTTCCAGCTTTATTTCTATTCTTTTATGCCACTAAATTGAGAAGAAAACATGAGGATTTTGAGCAGCCTTTGAGAATGCAAAAGACCAATTGTAATAAAATTACTAGTTTTTTGGGTTTGCTTTCCACAGAGTCCCCTCAAAATTTGCAATACACAAAGGGAAATGGCCACAATAAAACAATGCCTTCCTTCAGCATATTAAAAGAAGGAAAAAAATAAAAACCCATGCATGCACACAGTGTAGCTACAGCACTTTCTCCATTGTTCTACTTTTCAATATTAGATGTCTCTCTGCCATACGATTTCAGCTATCTGCTCTAACAACTCATTACTCTTGCTTGGAGAGGAAAAAAAAGAAAACCAATTGAAAATAGCTGCAGCTTATTTAACCATGGAATTAAGTTAAATGGGATTCTTCAGAAAAAAAAAATGTATTGGAAATGCTAAAAAAGTGCATCACATTAGATGCTCTGTCAATCAGAAGCTGATTTGGCAGTACTTCACACACAAAGAGGATTTCTCAGAGTAGGTAGGTAGTTGCGTTTCATATTTGATATGAAATGCCTCTAGTTACAGTTTTCAATCTAAAATAATCTGCTTATCATTCTATCAATTTTATACCAACAGACTGGATAACTACAAATGTGTGTGAGTGTGTATCCATATGTTTATAAACTCCAACAGTAAACTGGACAGAAAACTTAATTCTGTCACAACATAACAGTCATTTTAGATTTGGCTCCAAATTTATGTTTTGTGAATCAATGGTTTCTACATCTTCAAGCTTACAGAAAAACTGCTGAACCCGGCAGCCCACCGAAGACAAGGCTGCTGCAATTCCATGTCCCCAGATCCAGCCAGGCTGAGGATGTATTCCCATAGTTATGCATGCAAAGATGGATATACACATGGCTGACCACACAGATTAACACAGCTAAAAGAGGTGTTCATGCAAACACAATCATGGTCCGGCCTTATGCTGCTCATCGCCTTAGCTGACAAGCACAAAAGTTTGTTAGTGGGTAATACACACACATGTACAAGGTGGATACCTCCAGTAACTGGCCTCAGACCCTCAATCTATTCAGGAACCAACCTGAGATCCTCAGCGTCCCCAGAGCCCTACTCTGTTCTCAAATTGAAGACTCTTTGATCTTACTAGCACTTGTCCCACACTTTCAGTTGCCTCAAAACCTGGCTCCCAAGCCTCTTAATTCCACTCACTGGCTAGCTCTGAGTGGCATTCACTAGCAATCACACACTGGCATACTTGCCAAGACAATACCCTTGCACCCCAGTGTCCCCAGTTATGAGCACTCCCAACACACCAGCCTCTGTGACTTATGGTCTCCACTCCAGCTGCTGGCATTTAGACCCTCACTCACTCCACTGTCTCCAGTTGCTGGCACACCAGACACAAGTCCCTACTTATTTATTGTATGTGTTACTTACTGTGTGTCTCCAATTGCTGCACTTAGAGTTCAGTATGCACACATAAATGCAGCACAAAGTCCTCCCTTGTCCAGAAAAACAGTTGGAAGTGCAGCTTAATGAGCAAAGGCAGGGCACAGTCAAACATACTGACCAGCCACTTGTTTCCAACTGACCAGGCCTTTTATCTTATCCTTTCATTTTCCTGTACTTGTTTCCTTCCTTTAGACTCACCCTTGAGCACCCCATAAATTCTGTACAGTCACAAGATACTTTGCTCCTGAATCCCATAATATGTCCCTTATTTTCTAGGCAGTTAGCCCCCTCAATCTTGTGAGCTGCTTGAGACAGCCTTCCTGGTGACTTCTCTTGCTCACGTCACACCTGGGCAGTGGGGCTGGTGGCTCTCCAGTGACAGAACCAGGGGCTGCTTCCTCTGATGAGACTGAATCCCTCCTGTTCCTGCTGTGCCTCTGTGCAGTCCTGGTGACAAGCTTTTTAACATGTCAATCTAAATTACTGCTCTCACTCTGCTACAACAGTGTGTTAAAGTCACCTTCCCAAGCCATTGGAAACTTAGGGAACACCCACGCAATAGGAATATATGATACTGGAGCTTGCCTCATTCCCAAATGCCCAAAAAGAAACAACTCAACCACCTCTAAAATTAATACTTTCACACAATCTTTGAACCATGTAACTTTCTGAGCTTGTTTAAAGGGGAAACACATTCAACAAAAAAAAACCCAACCAACTAACCAACCAAAAAAAAACCCCAAAAAACAAAAACCCACAACCAGCCAACCATCAAATCTGAGATTTTGAAATTTACAGAATGCAGAACATAACTCTAATTTTACCCATATTTATCCCAGTATCATTCTGTAATCACTTTAAGATTTGATGAATCAACAATGAGAAATGTGGTTAAAACCATATACACAGCTAGCTCTTTCTTGTATCCCTTACTTAGGAAATGAGGGGGAAGCTCTGAGGCCCCAGGATGAAACAGGACCTAAATATACTCTGAGAGCTGCACAAATAGCAATGAAATTGATCTCTACCACCATGTCCTTAACAGTCACATCAGAATACTTTAAGTCAAAATGGAGAAAAAAACACAGTTAGCTGTGCAATGCATGAGAAAGGTCTTTTGCTAAGCAACGTTTATTGCTAGGTGCTTTATATATTCACATGCTTCTAAAATGAAAACATATGCACAAGTTGTACATAATGTTGCATGTATCGAGAATTACTGTGAGGTGCTGCAGTTTCCCATCGACTAAGCACAGATTATACTTTTCCACTTAAACAAAAAAACTAAACCAATGCTGTGAGCATTTCTTTGGAGAGGAACTCTTCACATTAAAAAAATCCTGCTTTTTCTACCAAAAAATACAAACTAAGTATAGGTGGACAACAACTGCACTGAAACCAGACGCGTATCAATCAATCCAAAGCACAGGTGCGCGGGAAGGAAGATTTGGTGACCTCCTTCCTCATTCCAAAAGCCCGCGCCCGCGGCTTCCTAGACCTCTCGCAGCCCAGCCCCTGCCCAGGCCGTCAGCCCAGGAAGTCGCGCTGCGGGGGCAGAAGCAGCGATTCCCCCCTCCACAAGCACCTCGCTGCCTGCGCTGAGCTCCGCGGCACTGGCGTTGTTCCCAGGAGACCGCTCGTCCGGCGCCCCTCCTTCCCCGGTGGGCGGCCGGGCACCTGCTGTCCGCGCACCGCGGGTTCCCTGCTCGCCGCCGGCGGGACACGCCGGCCGCACTCTCCCGCCCTGTCCCCGAAGGGAGGAGGCCCCTCCGGTGGTTCCCTCCGCGTCGCCCCCGCGAGCGGGACGCTGCCCCCCGAGGCCTGACCGCCCCCCCCGGCCCGGCCCGGCGCCCGCTCCCCCCCTCACCTCGCAGGCCGGCGGGGCCCCGGCGCGCGATCAGCCGCGCGCCGGCGCGCGGGCACCCGCTGGCCGCGCGCAGGGCAGGAAGCCGAGGGCGAGCGCGCCGCGGGACCCGCCGGACCCTCCGCGCCGCGGTGCCGGCGCTGCCAGTGCCGGCGGCCCCATCCCGCGGCCGCCCCGCGCCGCGCTGCGGGCCGCCCCCGGGGCGGGCGGAGGAGCGGCACCGCCCCGCCGCCCGCTCCTCGGGCGGAGAGCGCCCGGGAGGCGTGGCCGGCCCGGCACGGGCGCTTTTAACCCTTCTCCCGCCGCGGCGGCGGCTTCGCCGCGTGGCACCGCGCGCGTCCCTCCCGCTCCGGCGCGTGCGGGGCCGCCACCCACTGTGTCCTTCCTTCCTTTGCTCCCTCCGCTCCCTCTGCGGGCACGGGAATGCGCCCTTCCTTCTCGTCCGCCGGCAGTGCGGCCACGTCGTCGGGCCGGGCCGCGAGTGGCAGCGGCGCCTCCCGTGCGGGGAGGCCCCGGCGTGGCGGCGGCGATGGGCGAGGGCGGGTGACCCGAGTCGGGGCCGCAGCGTGAGAGCGGCGGGCAGCTCGGCTGCCGCGCTCCGTGGCTCGGTCACGGCTTCGAGCAGTGCGGGGAAAAAACGTGCCGGGGGAAGGGGAGGGTCCGGGAGGAACGGGGGAGCTCAGAGCGGCACCTTCCCGGGGCGCCCAGGGGTCGGTGAGCGGCGCGGCGCTCCAGCAGTGCATGCCCGGCACGGTCAGTAGGGAAATGCCCCGGGCACTGTCCGCCCACCCTTCCACCGCGTTACCTTGCTCTTCCCTGCCTGGGAGAGGCTGTGCTAGGCGCTCGGGCCGGGCTGCGGAGCTCCGCTGCGCTCCAGCCCTTCATTCCCTCACTTCAGCCGGTCTGGAGCTGCTGCTCTTCCGAAATACCATTAGGCAACTGCAAGGGGTGTTGCTAGGATACCGAGCCCTCTGCAATCGCTCCTTATCTCCCTGTGCTAACGCTGCCTACCTTTCCAACATCTCTGACGTTTATCTCTCGGTATCTTTCCGTAAGAAAAATCTCTTAAATAAGAGGGATTGCAGATTTAAAAGGTGTTTTTCATTATCATGTAACTGAAGGATAGAATTTTTGCTAACAGTGGGTAGTTAGTGGATCTCTGTAGTTAATAGGGAGAGTATTTGTGTTGTAGTTTGTTTGGGGGTTCGGTTTTTTTGGGGGGTACTGGGTGCAGGTACGTGCAAACAAGAATTGGTCCCTCCTGAAGGCTCCTAGTGTTTCTGTAAATGGAAATTGCAGAGTCTGTGAAACCAAAAAAAAAAAAAAGTCTGTCTTCTTGTTTCCCTTTTTTTTCATCCCCACCACATTTTGATAGGAGTACTGTCCATCCCATTTCCAGAGCATGCATTAAATTTCTGAAATAGATCAAGTGAAGTTTTCAAACTGTCTTATACTACAGATAATGCAGCATGTCTGAGTTGAACGCATGACTTCCATTTTGCTTGGTGAACTCTAAAGCCTGGTCTTGCATCACAGGAGCTCTACTGTCAAGGACTATATCCCATGTATATTACGTACACATATATTTATGCATGAAGTGCTACACTTTTTTCATACTGATGTGTTCATTGAGCTGTTTCAGTCTCTGTTAGGCTAGTTTGAAAGGAAATTTTCAAAGAGAGAAGGTGGAATGTATTGTAATTTAACAAAAGTCTCTCACGGCTTGCCTATTAATGTTGGTACATAAAGTTTGCTTTAACAAATGTGACTTTTTTGGCCACGTTGTAATGGCTGTGTAATATTTTAGGGAGATATTTACATACCACACATACGAGCAGTTTTTGTTTGGTTGGTTTTGGGGTTTTTTTCACTCAGGGATAGGTGAGCAGTCTCTTACAGTTCAGAGTAAGGAAATGTGCCCCTGCAAGGGACTGTCCTGCATATGCAGTGGTAGCAAACAATTCCACACCTTCTACTGTTCAGCACTGCTTTGCATAACACACTGCCTGTGGGTGGATACATAGAGGGAAAAGCCATTCTTGTTCTGAGTCAGAAAGGGGAAGCAGGCCTGGTGCTCTCTCTTGTTTGCAGGGTGTTCAGATCTGCTTGACCACAGTTACTTTCTATATAAATATACTACTGCTACAGGAGGCTCCTCAGGTGCTGAGAATGCCCAGCAGAGGTGGGGGACAATCATATCATGATAATATGTCAAGGAGATTCATATCATTACCTTCTGGCATGTGTGGCTAGGAACAAATGAGAGGGAAATTAAATTTCTAGTATTTTAATTTAAAAGGAAATCAATCACTTTGGTCTTCACATCAGTAAAGAGAAAAGAAGGAGATCTGTCTTTGCCTAGGAGGGCCAGCCATATTCAACATAAAGACTGTTTTGTGCATGATTCCAAAAGGGGCAGGGTAGCAGGTCCTTAATCCCTCTGCTCATCACTAGGTAGGTCTTCATGAGATAGTTGTCTGGGCATTTTCACATCTACATCCTCTGGAGAGCACTCTGTAGTATGGACCAACCATAAAAGCCCACTCACAGATCAGCTACTGCTCTCGACTCTCCTCATTTCCATGCACAGGAGTCTGGGAACACAGGTTTCTAAATAGGAAAGCTGACACAAAGTTAAGGTGGAAGGCAAAATGCAACAGCTGCTGTGGGGCTCTGCAATTTGACAAGTCACTGACTACATACATAACATTTAAATATTTAACTGGATTTCTAATAAATATCTACAGTGAAACCATGATTTCCTTCTGTAGCTAGCTTTCTACAAGCTAATGGGTGATAAGTAATCAGCTTTACCAGATCAAAGTCTACACACCATTTTGTTTTCTTAACACTTTGTTTAATTATAAATGGTCTTATATTGAGTCTGTTTATGCCATTGCTTTTATGGATCATCAGCAAGACCATGAAAATATTATATGAGTAATTTCCATGTATTTTGACTGAAAGCTACTTTTGTGTTCTCTGTTCACTCCTATTTGATCAGACAACCAGATTAAATTGAATACCTTATTTGCTTAATATTATTTATAAAAAAAACCCCAAACCTCACTAACTTGACCATTCACATTTAGTAAGGCCATTCTTCTCTACAGAACCTATTATTCATTCTGTGCCCACTTGTGAACCCACAAATTGGAGGCACACTGGACCTGGATCAAGTTATAAAGATCATGTTACACATACCTACCCTAATTCCTAAACAGAACAAAGGTCTTTAGGAAAGTACTGTGGTTTCCTGGAACAGTTAGAACCACATATGGAGCTGTAAGAATAATTTATTTATTTACCGTGATCTGATTACTGTGTGAAATAAGGTATAATATAATAATAAACCCTGAGACTAGCTCAGTTGATTACAGCATGGTGCCAATAACACCACTGTGGGTTTGATCCCTGTACAGGCCATTCACTTAAGAGTTGGACTTGATGAGCCTTTTAGGTCCCTCCCAACTCAGATTGTTGGGATTCCATGAGTGTATAACCCCACCTTTCTTTTACGTGTAAGAACACCAGGTGGCTGAAAGTCTGACATCTTGTTACGATACGGAACTTTATTCACTGTATTTCTTGAACAAACAATAGTGGAACTGCCAATAGTGGAATAATACACGTTACTGAAGTTAGAAGTACTGTCTGCATTTAAACAATTGTACAATCTCTATGCTGCTGTTTGTGCTAACCAGATCTGCTTGCAACAAATACTTGTCTTAAAACAAGCCATTGTGAACTTCCAGATCAATATTCAGTGTGTGCCAAAAAATTCAGTGATACATTTTGAATGGCAGAATAAGAAATTAACTACTGAATCTTGCTAAAAAAATGTGAAATTTAAAATAACATTTTTTAAAAGTTTGAAATAAAGGGCTTTTTTTCATTATCAAAACTAAAAAAAATATTAAACGTCTTTTATTTTGATGGGAAGTATCAGACAAAATGTATTAGGTGGTTGTTCTGGAAATTCTGCAAGAAAAGCACTTGTCACAATGTTTCTATCCTGTTTACAGACCTATCCCAAAACCCACTTCAGAACGGTCTGGGCTACATCTATGTTTCTATGGATGAAACAGTGCCCGGGACCATTCAAAGTAAGTGTTGTGGCTGTGTTGCAGACCTCGAAATGAGATTTTTATATCATGAAACTGAGAAAATCACACTCACTTTCAGTGCTGTGGAAGGTGATGGGAAGGCATGCAGGAGCACTGACAGCTTAGGAAGTCTGCTGGGATTCCCCCGGAGGGCTGCATGGTGGGTGGACAAAAACGTCAACCCTGTCCATATTGCTCCTTAGAAGTAGCACTTGGCAAGTGTTACTCTATTACCTTGCCCAGGCATTTTCTCAAGGAATGCTACTTAGTGGGACATAAATCCCACTAATCAGTGTGCTAATAGTCAGGCTCCCATACCTGAATTTACTTTCTCACCCTCATTTATTTGTAGAAATAGCCTCACAAAACCTTCTTTAAGCACTTTAGAAAAATGCATCTTTCTTTATTCTTATTACTGATATACTTCTGTATAGATAAGTATATTTCCGTTTATTTTACATATGCATGCAACTTAAAAGTTAGCTAGGGCAAGTGCAAATATTTTCTCTGCCCAATCCTACAATAGCAATAAAATAATATATTCCCTAATAATAAGAACTCTGATAAGAGAGATATATTTCAGAACAGATCAAGGAGTAGCCAACCCTTGCAGTTAGATTATTTTATTTGCCTGTCTGGTACCTATCAAAAGCAAAGAGGTTCAGAGGGTTGTAGTGAACCAGGACTCCAAGTAATGCTGCTGTAAGGTATCAGTCTTGTATAACAGCATTTCTATGAGAGTTGATAGAAGATTTTTGTTGACTTGTGTTTCTTTTCTTTGGTAAAAAAGAAAGCTTAATAAAAATGTTGGAATTAATACCGGAAACCACATTGTTACCTGGCATCTGCAATAAGAGATGAGATATTGTTTAGTAAGAATTGGAATGCAGAACTAACTCTCCTTTGCAATCATCCACTGTTTAATTCTTTTAATCCTTTTTAATTGGTACTGCATTTTGAGTTCCTTTAGAATTGGTTTTCTTCTCTTTTTTTGGTTTTCTATTTTTGAATCAGGAAGAATCCTCTTTCTTCTTTTTATATGTAAAGAAACAA